ACATGCACACACACATACTCTCACAGGGCACACACACAGTAGGGGGTGTGCAGGAGGCAGCTGACCCATGTTTCTCACTATCCCTTTCCCTTCCTCTTTGTAAAAAAAAAAAAAAAATCAATAAAGTATATTAAAAAAATAATAATGAATTCCCTGTCCTTATGCCGCGAGCAAGCTCATGATGTGTTCCCGGTTGCAGCTGTCTCACAGTCACTCACAGAGCCCTCTGTGGCACCTGCAGACACGGAGGCTGCAAACGGGTGAATGCGGGGACTGCCTGTGTGCGTTGCCTCTGGGCCCTGCACAACCAGCGACTCCTAGTACCCGGCTCATTCGGGCGTCTGTGCTCCTGGCCAGTGGAGAGAGGAGAGCCGCTCCCCCGGAGATCCCGTGCCCCAGCGATGGCCTTCCCCCCGGGGCGCCCCTACGTCCGGGACTCGGGGCGGCCTGTCCCCGAGGGAGCACCCCCGGGCTCCTGGGCGGAGAGGGAGTGGCGGTCCACGGGGGGCGGTGATCAAGCTCTGGGGTGCGCGCTGCCAGGGCTCAAGGGTCACCAGCCTTCCGGGCTCCGTGGCGCGCCTCTGCCGTGGCCTCCGCGGTGGCCTCCCACAGGCGCGGCGCGGGTGCGGGTTCGAGTGGGCTTTCCCCAGATGCCTCTGCAGAGGCGCCCGTGTCTCCGGACCCGTGTCCGTGCACCAGCCCTGACGTGGCCCCGTCGGGGTTCGGCTTTGTGTGGGACCCTGTCGCGTTCTGCCCGCAGAGAAGGCGCCCCTCAGACCGCCGAGCTGCTCGCTGTGCCTCGGCCCGCTCTCCGGCGTCCCCCGCAGCCCCTCCTCGGAGCGTCAGCCGTTCCGGTGGCGCACTCGCTCCTCGGTGCTGGTTTCTGGGCATCGAGGGCGGATCCGGACGAGCCTTTGCCCGGGGACAGCCCGCCCACCGGTGTGCCTGCCTCGGCGTCTCTGCCGGACGCGCCTCTGGCTGGCCAGGACTCCCTGTCCCCCAGCCCTGACACTCCGGTCGGCGCTGGGGTGTTATGCTCTACACACACGGCTTGTTTCTTAATTTTCCTGATTTTTATTGATTTCAGACAGAAAAGGAGAGGGAGAGAGAAATAGAAACATCAATGAGGAGAGAGAATCACTGGTCGGCTGCCTCCTGCACGCCCCCTAATGGGGACTGAGCCCACAACCCAGGCATGTGCCTTTGACCAGGAATCGAACCCGGGACCCTTCAGTCCGCAGGCCGACGCTGTATCCACTGAGCCACACTGGCTAGCGCTAAAAAATATGCTTTTATTGAATCCAGAGAGGAAAGGAGAGAGAGAAACATCCACGATGAGAGAGGATCAGGGTCGGCTGCCTGCGCCTTGAGTGGGAATGGAACCTTCTGGTTCAGTGGTGGATGCTTAGCCAGGAGCCGAGGCCGGGACCTGGTTTCAGAGAACAGATTCCTGATTCCTGGGGTGCGGCCTGCAGCTCCCTCTTCGCTGGAGGCTGTCTGCGCCCCTGCCTGCGCCCCCAGCCCTGACCTCCGGCCCCTGGACCCCGAGGCCGCCCGTGTGCCCGCAACTCCGGGCGGCTCCGCCGGCCCCGGCGCCATGCTGCTGGGCCGGCCCTGTGGGTGCCTGGCCAGGCCGTGTGGGTGCCTGGCCAGGCCGTGTGGGTGCCTGGCCCTGGGGCCCAGGGCCGGGCCGGGCCCTGTGGGTGCCTGGCCGGGCCGTGTGGGTGCCTGGCCCCGGGCCCAGGGCCGGGCCGGGCCGTGTGGGTGCCTGGCCGGGCCGTGTGGGTGCCTGGCCGGGCCGTGTGGGTGCCTGGCCCCGGGCCCAGGGCCGGGCCGGCCGTGTGGCTCCATCGATGACATTTAGGTTGTTTCCACTGCTCTCTCTTCCCAGAATGCCTCCGGGCGCCCCCAGGTGGGTTTCCCACTCGGAATTCCTAGAGGGACTTCCTGGGTGACGGCTCGGGGACTGACTCACAGAATCTCTGCATCGACCTGCTTTCCCGGAAGGCACCCGCCCCCTTCCTCCCGCCCTGGCTCCCCCACAGTCCCGGGCGCGGGGTCCATCTGGGCCGCGGACACGCCTTCCTAGAGCTTCCTCCTCCGGCTCCTTTCTTCCTTTCAACCCTCCCCTCTCCTCCCTCCCCCTCCCCTCCCCTCCCCTCCCCTCCCCTCTCCTCCCTCCCCCTCCCCTCCCCCTCTTTCCCTTTCCTACCCTCCCCCGTCCCCCCTCCCACGCCCCCCGCCCCGCCCCCTTCCCCTCCCTCTCCCCTCCCCCTCTCCCCCTCCCCTCCCCCCTCCCCCCATGGCTTTCTGGAGAGAATGGGGGGGCATGACCTCAGTGCCTTCAGGGGAGCAGCGCCCCCTTTGCGGCCCCAGCCTTTGACCTGAGGGAGCGCAGGCCTTGAGTTGGGGGCGTCGCTGAGGGGGGGCCGGCGGCCTCTGCACCCTGAGCTCCGGAAGGCTGGTTCCGGCGGTTGCTGCCCTCTGCACAGGAGGCCTCGCCCGAAACCACAGGCCCCTGTCTGGGCCCACAGTTCCCACGCGCCACCCCATACGGGGTTTGGAGACACGGCCCCGCCGCCCGCCTCCGGCCCAGGCGCCCCGCACCCCCTGGCGGCGCCCAAGGCCGGGCCACGTGCGGACGGACGCGGGGGGAGGGGCGGGGCGTGCGCCCGTCTCACCGAGCAGGTGCGTGAGGAGGTGAGGCGCCCGCGCCGTCTGTATTTATTTAGTATTATTATTTTAAATATATTTTGTTGATTTTTTACGGAGAGGAAGGAAGAGGGATAGAGAGTTAGAAACATCGACCAGCTGCCTCCTGCACACCCCCTGCCGGGGATGTGCCCGCAACTAAGGTCCATGCCCTTGATGGGAATCGAACCCGGGACCCCTCAGTCCACAGGCCGACGCTCTATCCACTGAGCCACCCCGGTTTCAGCTCCCGGGCTGTTTTTAATGTCATTTTACTGTATCGGGGAGGAGGGAGGGGAAGAAGCAGCTTGTGATCACCCCAGGGTCCTCCGAGGTCCCGTGACCATCACGGGCAGCTGACCACATCCTCCTTCACTCCCGGCCTCTGCCCGCCTCACCCGGCCCCTGGGCCCGGGCCCCTCCCGGGCCGGCTGCTCGGAGCCTGGTGCAAGGTCTGCTAGCATCTGGGAAACGGAGCGGGGAGGGGGGCCGAGGGGAGGGGGGACCGAGGGGAGGGGGGACCGAGGGGAGGGGGGACCGAGGAGGGGAGGGGGGACGAAGGGAGGGGGGACTGAGGGGAGGGGGGCCGAGGGGAGGGGTCACCGAGGGGAGGGGGGACGAAGGGAGGGGGGACCGAGGGGAGGGGGGCCGAGGGGAGGGGGACCGAGGAGGGGAGGGGGCTGAGGGGAGGGGGGACTGAGGAGGGGAGGGGGGACTGAGGGGAGGGGGTACCGAGGAGGGGAGGGGGGACTGAGGGGAGGGGGGACCGAGGAGGGGAGGGGGGACTGAGGGGAGGGGGGACCGAGGAGGGGAGGGGGGACTGAGGGGAGGGGGGCCGAGGGGAGAGGGGACCAGGGGCCTGGAGGGAGGGGGTGAGGAGCCCAGGCCCAGTCTAGGGGGGTGTGAGTTTCGGATGCTCCAGTGCATCCACCCCAAACCCCCACCTGCAACCTCCCCACCTCAGGGGACGTCCTCTGCCCCCCACCACCACATCGGGGTCGGGGGTGGCTGCCCCTCTGGAGCCCCCAAGCCTGAGCCTGCCTCTGAGGGGGCGGGTCACCCTCCCAGGCCTCCCACAGGGGCCCCAGGTCTGGAGGCAGCGGGGTGCAGGGAAGGCGGGGGGGGGGGGCTCTCCCGAGGACGACGAGGAGGGTTTGGTTCTGGGAGCCCCGGCATGGCCGTCTCTCTGAGCCCCACTCCCCGGCTGCGGGGCCAGCACTCCCCAGCCCCGCCCCCTGCAGGGAACATGGTGGGGAGCCCCTGGGTGCTCCAGGGGACCCACTGGCCCTGGGGTGCCCTCTGGCAGGTGTGGGTGACCAGGTCACTGAGCTCAGAGGCTCTGCCCTCGTGTGGAGAAGGGGGTCAGCTCCCTGGGGTGCAGAGCGACAGGGGGAGCGAGCTGTGCTTTGGGGGCGCCCACTTCTACTGGGAACTCGGGGGGGGGGGGGGTCCTGGACAGGAGCCGGGCCAGAGAACAGCTCTGCTGCCTGGCCCTCTCCTGGCCGGGAGCCCTCTCCCTGCCTGCGGGTCTGCCCCGCCGCCGAGTCTGTAAACAGTCGGTTAGCCTTTCACTTTCTATTTTGAAGCACTGCATCGAGGTCCTCTCTCCCGCCGTCCGTCTGTCCTGCTGGCAGGGGCCCAGAGACGGCCGCCCGGGAATGAAGGATCCCTGAGGTGGTCATGGAGCCTCTGCCTGGCTGGGGGCCGCCTCTCTGCAGCCCCGCGCCCTCGGCCGACTTCCTGAGCCTGGTGAGTCCGAGGCGCGAGGCCCGGGGGGGCGCCCAGCAGCCTGGCGGGGCGGTGCCAGCCCTGCCACGCACCGCCCTGGCCGCGGGCCTGGGGACGGCCAGGGGAGACCCCACCACAGAGACGAACCCTGCCCACTCCCCGCCCCCCCCCCACACTCAGGGACGAAATCTCCCCCCGCAGCCCGAGTGGGAGAGGAAGTGGCTGTCTGTGAGGCGGGGGCCCCTGAGCCCCAAGCTCACACTGAGGAGCGGCTCTGCCCGCAGCCTCCCCCCCCCAGCCCCTGCCTCTGGCGCCGTCAGGCCAGAGCTGTGCCTGCCCTGACCCTGCGGCTCCCGGGGGTCAGAGCACCGCAGCCGCCGGAGGGCACCCCAGGGCACGCCTCCCCAATGCTTCCCCAGGGGCAGGGGCCCCACTGTCCTGAGCCCAGGGGTCAGAGGTCAGACAGAGCATCCCCACACCAGGCTCCTTTAAAAAAAAAAAATATATATATATATATATACACACACACATATATATATATTTTTTTTTTCTATTGATTTTAGAGAGGGAGGGAGAGGGAGAGTGAATAGAAACATCCATGATGAGAATCATTGATCAGCTGCCTCCTGCACGCCCTCTACTGGAGGGATCAAGCCTGCAACCTGGGCATATGCTCTTTTTTAAAAAATATATTTTATTGATTTTTTTACAGAGAGGAAGAGAGAGGGATAGAGAGCCAGAAACACGATGAGAGAGAATCATCCATCAGCCGCCTCCTGCACACCTCCCACTGGGGATGTGCCCGCAACCAAGGCACATGCCCTTGACTGGAATGGAACCAGGGACCCTGCAGTCTGCAGGCTGATGCTCTATCCACTGAGCCGCACCGGCCAGGGCTCCACCCCATGGTCTTAGGGTCCTCTATAGACCGTCCTGTCCTGGGCCCCACCAGTCCGCTCCCGGCAGGGCAGGACCAGGACACGGGCTGCTGGCGCCCATTTCCCGGAGGGGGAGACTGAGGCCCGGCCCCCCCCCTCCCTCAGGCCCTGTGTCTGCTCCTCCTGAGAGCCCCGCCCTGCGTGCTGGCCACGCCCTCGTGCAAAGAGGAGGAGTTCCCCACGGGGGCCGTGTGCTGCCCCAAGTGCAGGCCAGGTGGGTGCTGCTCCGCAGGGGTCCCCGGGGGGCGGGGGGCGGGCTGTGCTGGGGCAGGAACCCCCTCCCCGGGCCTGGAGCCCTCTGCTCCCAGCACCCTTCATGGAGGCCTGGCGCCCGGGGCACAGAGGACACCCCCGCCGCTCCGGGGAGCAGGGCAGGGCCGGTGGGCAGCCCGGTTCAGGCCGGGAGAGGGGTCTCCGGGCCTCTGAGTCCCCGAGGCCCCTTCCTCACTGCGGCCGGGACCGCGGCGGGGCGGGGAGGGTCCGACCTGCGCGGGGCGCCGCCCTGATGCGCCCTCCCGCAGGCTACCGCGTGAAGGAGGCGTGCGGGGAGTTCGCGGGCACCGTGTGCGCGCCCTGCGCGCCCGGCACCTTCACCGCCCACCTCAACGGCCTGCGCGAGTGCCTGCCCTGCCGCGCCTGCGACCCGGGTGAGCGAGCCCGGCCTCTGCCGTCCGCCCCGCACCCTCTGCCGTCCGCCTCCCGCACCCTCTGCCGTCCGCCCGCACCCTCTGCCGCCCGCCTCCCGCACCCTCTGCCGTCCGCCTGCCCCCGCACCCTCTGCCGTCCGCCCCGCACCCTCTGCCGTCCGTCCACCCCCCGCACCCTCGCCGTCCGCCCGCCTCCCGCACCCTCTGTCGTCCGTCCGCCTCCCACACAGGTCACACTGAGCCGGGCAGCGGCTGGCAGAGTCCAGGGGGAGCAGAGGGGGCCCTCCCCGGCCCTCCCCGGCCCTCCCCGCGCCCTCCCCCTCCCCGCGCCCTCCCCCTCCCGGCGCCCTCCCCCTCCCCGCGCCCTCCCCGGGCCTGCGGGCGCCGTCCAGCCCTGGGCGTGGCTCCCCCGGACGGGGCGTCCACCCCAGCCCCAGCGTCTGGCTGCTGCTCTGACGGCTTCTCTGGCCACAGGCCTGGGCCAGGTGACCCGGCGGAACTGCTCGTCCACGGCCAACACGGTGTGCGGCTGCGGGCGCGGCCACTTCTGTGTGCGCGAGGACGGCGACGCCTGCGTCCAGTGCAGGCCCCACAGCGCCTGCCGCCCCGGCCAGAGGGTGCGGGAGTCGGGTGAGCCAGCGCCCCGGGCAACAGACCCTCCCTGCGGGCACAGACCCCCTCCTGTGGGCACAGACCCCCCCTGCAGACACAGGCCCTCCCCCCGCAGGCACAGACCCCCCCTGCAGACACAGGCCCCCCCCCGCAGGCACAGACCCCTCCTGCGGACACAGACCCCCCCGCAGGCACAGACCCCCCCTGCAGACACAGGCCCCCCCCCGCAGACACAGGCCCCCCCCCGCAGGCACAGACCCCCCCCGCAGGCACAGACCCCCCCTACGGACACAGACCCCCCCCCTGCAGACACAGGCCCTCCCCTGCGGGCACAGACCCCCCCCCTGCAGACACAGGCCCTCCCCTGCGGACACAGACCCCCCTGTGGGCACAGACCCCCCCTGCGGGCACAGGACCCCCCTGTGGGCACAGGCCCTCCCCCCAGGTGCCCCCGGTAGCCTCTGCCGACTCTGGTTTCCCAGGCTCCGAGGGGCAGGACACGTGGTGTGAAGACTGTCCGCCTGGTACCTTCTCTGCGGGGGGCACCCAGCCGGCCTGCACGCTCTGGACCAAGTAGGTGACCGGGTCCCAGGAGGCGCTGCCAGGGCCCCTGGGGGTAGGGCCCTCCCCTCTGTGTGCCAGGCTGTGCCGGGACGCTCGGGGTCGGGGTGGCACACCACTGCCACGGCCTCCTCCCCAGGTGCAGCGGCCTGACCACGGTGGAGACGCCTGGGACCAACAGCTCCGACGCCACGTGCTCCCACAGAGTCCTCATCATCTCCCTGGTCGGAGCCATCACCGCCCTCACGTTCCTCGTCGCCATTGTCCTCGGACTCAGGCACCGCAGGACCAGGAAGCTGTGTGGTGAGCAGCAGCCCCTGGTCCCGTCTGGGCTCAGGACCCAGCCCTCCATCCCAGGCACCTCTCTGCTCTGTCCCCCAAAAGGAGAGGTGGCCGGGGTGCCCGGGGCGGGACTTCCTGTCTGAGGGACTTCCTGTCTGGACTCCCAGCCCCCCCAAGCAGCACCAGGCCCCGAACTCCCACCTGCTCTGCATGCCCACCCAGAGGGGGGGGGTGCTGAGCAGAGAGGCTCAGGCCTATGGGCAAGGCCTGCCCTGTCCTCTCCCGGGAGGCGCCCGGCCGGCCCTGGGGCAGCCGCTCCCCTGGGGGCTCAGCCCTCCCTGTGGATGGTCACGGGGCTGAGGTGGTGATGATGATGAGGGTGATGGCGGTCTGCAGCAGGGAGGTGGACAGGCTCGCCCCGGAGGGGCCCCCCATGGGTCTTGCTGCCTCTGAGCGGTCGGTCGGTCGGTCTCGCTGGCGGTGCCCAGTGAGCAGCAGGCCCGTGGTCCCAGCCGGTGGCCCATCCTGACGGCTCTGTTTTGCAGGAGAATTCGCCTTTCCTCAGGGATTGCAGCCCGGCGCCCCGGCGGTAAGGCTGCTGGCGGGGGCGGGGTGGGCCCCAGGTCCCCGCGGGCGGCGTCCTCCGTGCACCCTGCTGACTGGGGGGGGGGGAGGCCCCCGCCAGCCCCTGGGACCGGTGACCCTGAGCGCCCGGGCCAGGCGGCAGCCGGCCCCGGGCCTCACGCTGAGGGTCCGTGCAGGGGACAGGGGAGCGGGCAGAAAGGAAGCCGCATTGGGACCAGCAGGCCGGCCGGGTCCAGCCAGACGTCACTACGGAGCCGGTGGAGGAGACAGTGGCCATGTTCCCGCAGAGGGGCCCGCCAGCGGACACCTGGCTTCACGATGCGGACACCTGAGCCATCGCCACGAGGCCGCAGCCAGCGGCCAGGCCCCCGGGGACCGGATTCAGGGTCAGGGGAGCCGCCGGGCGCACCGGACTGAGGAAGAGACCGCCAGCTGCGCCCAGGGCTTTGGGACCACCCGCGTCTCCCCATCAGGCTCCTGAGGTGCCTGAGCCTCCCCCTCCTGACCCTGCATGCGAGGACCCAGCCCAGGGCGCTCCTGCCGCCCTCCTGCCGCCCCGGGCGCTGCTCAGCTGCTCAGCTGCTCAGCTGGAGGACGGGCCCTCAGACACCTCCCAGGGCTGGGACCTGGGGATGGTCTTGTCTGCGCAGCATATGACTAACAGTCTTGGGAATGAGGGTCACGCTTCGGCTGACCTGTGTCAGGGCCTCAAATACGTCCCAGCTGGAGGGCGGAGCTCTCTAGCAAAATTAAGCCTGATCCTGTAGCCTCCCTCATTCCATCCTAAGTAGCTCATGGGCTGTGGGAGGTGCAGCAAGTGTTGCCAAAAGAAGAACATTATATACATGTTTTTTTTTAAAAAAATATATATATATTAATAATATTAAATGTTAACATGTCTGTAGTTTTGATTTCTCTGTCTCTCTTTTTTAAAATATATTTTATTGATTTTTTTACAGAGAGAGAGAGAGAGAGCTAGAGAGCTAGAAACATCGATGAGAGAGAAACATCCATCAGCTGCCTCCTGCACATCTCCTACTGGGGATGTGCACACAACCAAGGTCCATGCCCTTGACCGGAATCGAACCTGGGAGCCTTCAGTCTGCAGGCCGATGCTCTATCCACTGAGTCAAACCGATTAGGGCTCTGCTCTGGCTTTAATCAGACTATAAAATAGAGCATTGGCTTGCATGCTGGGTCTTTTGTGTCCTCCTCCAGGCACGGGAGATCCACCGAGCCCCAGCTGTGTTCTCTTTTCTATCTTTTCTTCAATCCTTCACCGCCCCTCCTCAGGTTTACCCTAGTCTGTGCTGGTGGGGCACATGTGGCACCAAGGTGGGGCCTGAGTACAGGGCCACTGCAATTGCAAGGTGAAAGGATGCTCCAGTGAAGCACATGCAGAAAGCAAAACGTAAGGAGAGAAGTTTAGTAGCAGCTAGGTGCAAAACATGGGAAATTAAGACTGTCCAAATCTGAGGGCCATAAAGAAAAGTCAGACCCTCCAGGAGGAAATCCAACAGCACCAGCCTCACACTGACAGTATCTTCACATCGACAGCATCTTTATATATATATTGATTTTTTACAGAGAGGAAGGGAGAGGGATAGAGAGCCAGAAACATCAATGAGAGAGAAACATCAATCAGCTGCATCCTGCACACCTTCTACTGGATATGTGCCCACAACCAAGGTCCATGCTCTAGACTGGAATCGAACCTGGGACCTCTCAGTCTGCAGGCCGACGCTCCATCCACTGAGCCAAACCAGCCAGGGCTTGACAGCATCTTTGAAAGGAGCCAGAGCATCATCACCGACAGCAGCAGTCGAGACCGTCTCACAGAGGCTCGCCGACCTGCTGCAGCTGTGGGGTCTCCTCATTGAGAGATGGAAAAACGGCACCGGTGGTTGGAGAAGGTCCTTGTCCCTCCGTTCAATAGACTGAAAGTCGCCCTGGTGATAGCGATGTGCAAGAACACAGCGAAGACTACGCAGGGGACCAAGGGGCTGACTAGCTTTGGTGAGCTGCCAGTCTCCTGTAAAGTCTTGCCAAGTCCGAGGACTGTAAATATACGCCAGCAGCAAAAGAAACTTTCATTTTGTGGCTAAAAATGTTAACATGTCTGTAGTTTGATTTCGCTCCTATTGCTCTCTTGCATTGGCATTGTTTTGTTATCGTTTTAACAGCCAGAGTTTTGTTCTTGATATTCAAGTTTTTAAAATGTGAAACATGCCTGTAGTTTGATTTCTCTCTTATTGCTGTGTTGCTTTAGCATGGTTTTATTGTTTTAATAGTTCAAGTTTAAAAACAAGAGTCAAGTTATTGTACTAGCTTGAAAACAAAGAAAAAGGGGAGATGTAGGGAGCAGCATGTAGCTGAGAGTGTTTGGGGAGAGACTTTAGCCTATGAGCACGTTCCATTTCTCACCTGCATTTATCAATTGATTTTCTTCTCTGAACAACACCACTGCACTGAAGGAAGCACTGTCCTCATTTATCATTCATTCACTCATCCATTCACCCATTCACTCATCCATCCACCCATTCACTCATCCATCCATTCACTGAGCCATTCATTCATTCATCCATCCACTCACTCATTCATCCATCCATCCATTCATTCCCTCATTGATTCCTTCACTCATTCATTCCTTCATGCATCCACTCCCTCCCTCATCCACCTATTCACCCATTCATCCATCCATCCATACATACATACATACATACATACATACATACATTTACTCACTAATTCACTTTTCCATTCATTCACTCTCTCATTCCTTCATCCTTCTATTCACTCACCCTATCATTCACTTACCCATCCATCCACCCATCCATTCATCCATTATGCACTCTTGATATCATGATGGCCTCAGCGTTTTCTATTTCATTCGCTGGGATCTAACCCACAAATCCCGTTGATTCTGGTGCTAAGATTGTCCCAGGTTTTTGCAGAGGGTCCCTTTAAGGGCCTCCTGCATTCCTGTGTCACGTGTCCATCATTCCATGGGCCTTCCGTGATCCCTGGCCCAGCAGGATGTTCCAGGCACATCTGGGGCCACCCCTGCCCCACCCAGCACCAGGCATTTTGCTTCCAACAGCCTGGGCTGCATCTGTGGAGAACGGTGTTTGCAAAGAACCTTAATGGGCTGGGGGCGCGCACTGCCACGGGGTAATCACACCCACGCTCTACACAGACGTGTGCGTGAGAGGTCACACCGCCAGCGCCTCCCAGAGGCCCATTCCTAGCCACAGCCACAGGTGCCACAGCAGCGCTCGTGCCCCGGGGACGTGGGCGCTCCGAGGGCTGCCCGCGGCCCGGGGCGGGGATGTGCCTCACAGACCTCCGAAGGCAGCCGTGGGGCCCCTCGGGCGATGTTGGCAGCCAGGACCCACTGCACAAAGTGAGGCCCGTGAGGCCGGACTCACATAAACCGGGAGGGGGGGCCTCTTCGCAGGGCAGAGGGCATCGCCTGGGAGGTCCGGGGGCCCTCCCGCCGCCACACACACACACACACACACACACACACACACACACACCACTCAGGTGGGATGGCGGTGGGTGAGACGGACCAGGATCAGGATCTGAGCTGCTCTCCACGCAAACTGTTCCCCCACAACCTGCTTTTTATTTATTTATTTATTTTGCAGTTGCAAATCACACAGCTCTTTATTACTCACACAAATTCCTGAGCGGCTGCAGCACAAACTTAGCTAGGGATCCCCTTGGTGGTGGTGTCCACTGTGGTCCAGCAGCTGGTCTGGCCCGGGTGTAGGCAGCTGGCATTCTTCTCCCAACAGCCCGTCGTGTTCGTCTCAATTGAGAATTCCTGGCCATTCTTCTGTCATCGGCAGGAAGAGGAGCGGAGCAGCCGGACAAAGGGACGGCCTCGTTGGCTGGCAGGGTCCATGTCTAAGGCTTGTTCGTACCTGTAGCAGCCCAGGTGCACAACCTGCTTTTTAGGGGACGCCTCAGTCTGCGAGCCTTCTTCTCAGACCATCGCACACACTGCTGCGGATTTTATTTTTTCACTGCTTTTTATTTTTATTTAAAAGATACATTTTATTGATTTCTTACAGAGAGGAAGGGAGAGGGATAGAGAGCTAGAAACGTCGACCAGAGAAAAACATCCATCAGCTGCCTCCTGCACGCCCCACACTGGGGATGTGCCCGCAACCAAGGGACATGCCCTTGACCGGACTCGAACCTGGGACCCTTGAGTCCGCAGGCCGACGCTCTATCCCCTGAGCCACACTGGCCAGGGCTGCTGCGGACTTTAAATCAGCACTTTTCGCTCAAACTGCTGCGTGTCACTGCGCCGCTGAGCGGAAGGGAAAGCGCAGATGAGAAGGGAAACGCCCTGGAAGGCAGGTTCAGCGCCTGGGCCCGCCTGACGCCCGCCCGCGGGGAGCGGGGCGAGGCCGGCGTGTCCGGGCAGGGGGTGCGCGTCTCCGCCTTTTAACCGCATTCTCTCCTCCGCTTCCGCCCGAGCCCGCGCAGGGCGGGCGGGCAGAGGCGGCGGGAGGCGGCGCTCCGCTCCTCCCCCTCCGCTCCTCCCCCTCCGCTCCTCCCCCTGCCCCGCCCTGTCACCCTCCCTCCGCTCCTCCCGCCCCCAGGCCAGGCCCCCGCCTGCCCCGGCCCCACCTCCGGCCGCGCCCCGTTCCGCCCCGGCCCCCGGCCGCCTCTCCCCCCGGCTGCCCGCCCCTCCCCCCGGGAGCCTCCCCCCCACCGCCGCCCCCCCAGGCCCCCCCGGGCTGCCCCCATGCAGGCAGGTACACTCCAGCCCGCCCCCGGGAGCCTCCCCCCCCTCCGGGCAGTGGGGGTTTGGGGTCCCTCCCGGGCCGCCCCTTCCCTCTGCAGGAGCAAGCGCCTCGCCCGCTCCCCTGTCAGCCCCGCAGCCCTGCCCGGTGTCCCCCCTGTGCGCTGTGGACACACAGTGTGTCCCCTGGTGACGGACCTGAACTCAGATCCCAAGTCTTTACCGGGTCTGTCTTCTACCCCCCCCTCCGGTGCTGCCCGCACCCCCGCCGGTGCCCCCTGTCCCCCCTCTCCCCCTCCGGTGCTGCCCGCACCCCCGCCGGTGCCCCCTGTCCCCCCTGTCCCCCCTCCCCCTCTCCGGTGCTGCCCGCACCCCCGCCGGTGCCCCCTGTCCCCCCTGTCCCCCCCCCCTCTCCGGTGCTGCCCGCCACCCCCGCCCGTCCCCCCTCCCCCTCTCCCCCTCTGGTGCTGCCCGCCACCCCCGCCGGTGCCCCCTGTCCCCCCTGTCCCCCCTCCCCCTCTCCGGTGCTGCCCGCACCCCCGCCGGTGCCCCCTGTCCCCCCTGTCCCCCCCCCCTCTCCGGTGCTGCCCGCCACCCCCGCCCGTCCCCCCTCCCCCTCTCCCCCTCCGGTGCTGCCCGCCACCCCCGCCGGTGCCCCCTGTCCCCCTTGTCCCCCCCCTCTCCGGTGCTGCCCGCCACCCCCGCCCGTCCCCCCTCCCCCTCTCCCCCTCCGGTGCTGCCCGCCACCCCCGCCGGTGCCCCCTGTCCCCCCTGTCCCCCCTCCCCCTCTCCGGTGCTGCCCGCACCCCCGCCGGTGCCCCCTGTCCCCCCTGTCCCCCCCCCCTCTCCGGTGCTGCCCGCACCCCCGCCGGTGCCCCCTGTCCCCCCTGTCCCCCCTCCCCCTCTCCGGTGCTGCCCGCCACCCCCGCCGGTGCCCCCTGTCCCCCCTGTCCCCCTCCGGTGCTGCCCGCACCCCCGCCGGTGCCCCCTGTCCCCCCTGTCCCCCGTCCCCCTCTCCGGTGCTGCCTGCCACCCCCGCCGGTGCCCCCTGTCCCCCCTGTCCCCCTCCGGTGCTGCCCGCACCCCCGCCCGTCCCCCCTGTCCCCCCTCACACCTGCCACCTCACAGCGGGCCCACTCCACAGCCCTCCTCTCATCACCCAGGATGCCGGGTCCCCCCCCGCCCCCCCCCCGGCTCTGGGGACTGAGGGGGTCAGGCCCAGATGACTGTCCCTGTGGCCCCCCTGAACCCCTGCTCTGGGCCTCAGTGAGCCCCCAGCTGCTGGGTCCCCCCCCCCAAAAGCTCAGGGCAGGGGAGGGTCCTGGTGCTTTAACTCTCCACCGGCTTCGGGCCACCGAACCCAAATCCACCTTCTGGGCGGGGCCTCTCCGCCTCCGACAGACAGGCGGACAGACAGGCGGACAGACAGACAGGCGGACAGACAGACAGACAGACAGACAGGCGGACAGACAGACAGACAGACAGGTGGACAGATAGCCAGACAGGTGGACAGACAGGCGGACAGACAGACAGGCGGACAGACAGACAGGCGGATAGACAGACAGGCGGACAGACAGGCAGGCGGACAGACAGACAGACAGACAAGTGGACAGATAGCCAGACAGGCGGACAGACAGGCGGACAGACAGACAGGCGGACAGACAGGCAGGCGGACAGACAGACAGACAGACAGGTGGACAGATAGCCAGACAGGCCGACAGACAGGCGGACAGACAGACAGGCGGACAGACAGGCAGGCGGACAGACAGGCAGGCGGACAGACAGACAGGCGGACAGACAGGCAGGCGGACAGACAGGCAGGCGGACAGACAGGTGGACAGACAGACAGGCGGACAGACAGGCAGGCGGACAGACAGACAGACAGACAGGTGGACAGATAGCCAGACAGGCCGACAGACAGGCGGACAGACAGACAGGCGGACAGACAGGCAGGCGGACAGACAGGCAGGCGGACAGACAGGCAGGCGGACAGACAGGCAGGCGGGCGCGGATTCTCTGAAGCGTTTACTTCGCCGAAGCCTGAAGCTGGGTGTGGAGCGGGCAGAGGCGGGCGCAGGCGGCGCGGGGCACGGTCCCCGGGGCAGAGCCCCGCCGCGGGCGGGGGGTCGGCTCCCCAGACTCACAGTCCCGCCGGCGGGGGGTCGGCTCCGGGGCCCAGAGTCCCGCCGGCGGGGGGTCGGCTCCGGGGCCCAGAGTCCGCGGCGCGGGTCCGGCCCGGAGCCACGCAGGCCGGCCGCGGCGGCTCGGAGCCGGGCGCCTGGGAGGAGGGCGGGCGGCGGTGCTGGGCCGGGGCTACCAGACGCGGCAGCGCACCCACGGGTGCATGGGGCTGCCCCGCGCGCAGCCGAAGGCGTCCGAGAAGGCGGCCAGGTTCTGCAGGGAGCCCAGCACCCTGCGGGCAGACGGGCCTCAGGCGGGGGGCGGGGGGCGGGGGGGCGCGGGGAGGCGGGGGGCGCAGGGGGATACGGGGGCGCGGGGGGTACGGGGGCGCGGGGGGATACGGGGGCGCGGGGAGGCGGGGGGCGCGGGGGGCGCGAGGGGATACGGGGGTGCGGGGTGCGGGGGGCGCGGGGGCGCGGGGGGCGCGGGGCGCGGGCGCGGGGGGCGCGGGGCGGGGCGCGGGGCGCGGGGCGCGGGGGGAAGCGGGGGGGGGGAGCGGGGGCGCGGGGCGGGGCGCGGGGGGGCGCGGGGCGGGGCGCGGGGCGCGGGGCGCGGGGGGCGCGGGGGGAAGCGGGGGGGAGCGGGGGCACGGGGCGGGGCGCGGGGCGGGGCGCGGGGCGCGGGGGGCGCGGGGTGACTTGCCTGTACTTGAGGGGGCTGTGGACGTCCGTCTTGAGGGCCTGCACGGCCAACTCGGGCTTGTAGGAGCCGCACCACACCTGCGGGGCGGGGCGTGGCTGCGGGTGGGGCCAGGGCGGAGCCGGGGTGGCCCAGAGTGGGGCGGGGCCAGGGCGGAGCTTTGGTGGGCGTGGCTGAGGTTGGGGCGGGGCCAGGAGCGGGGCTTGGGGTAGGCGGGCACCGGAGCAGACGCCAGAGGGGAAAGGCCAGGCCTGGGGCCTGGAGGGGAGGGAGGTGGCCCCAGGGAGTCTGGGGAGGGGATGCCAGCAGGCCCCCCTCCTGCGCTTCACTGACTCCCCCCCTCCAGCCCCGCCCTTCTTCCTCTCCCTTCTGGTTCCCCCTAGCCTGCCTGCCCGGCCCCTGGAGGCACCCGCAGCGGGGTCTGCGGAGACATGGGTGGGGGGGTGAGGGGAGGGGGGTGGGGGGTTGAGAGGGGCAATGGGGGGGAGGGGGGTTTGGGGTTGGGGATGAGAGAGTGGGGGAATGGTGAGTAGGGGGATGGGGGGTTGAGGGGAGGGGGGTGGGGGGTTGAGAGAGTGGGGGAATGGCGAGTAGGGGGATGGGGGGGTTGGAGGGGAGGGTTGGGGGTTGAGAGAGTGGGGGAATGGGGGGGAGGGGGGTAAGGAGTGGGGGAGTTGGGGGGGAGGGTTGGGGGTGGGGGGATGGGGCAGGTGGTGGGTCGGGCCACCTGAGCGTAGTTGAGGAAGAAGATCTGGTCGAAGGTCAGGTCCAGGCCTGGCAGCTTCTGGTCCCGGCCGCCCTCCGCTCTCCACTTGAGGTAAGCCTGCGGGCACCGACCGGGCGCTGGCCCCGGGCCAGGCCTGTCCCCCCTGCCCCCCGCCCTAGAATGAGCTCCTGACGCCCAGCGCAGGGCTGTGGGCAGGGCGGGCCATGACGGACAGTGGCCACCCGAGGGCAGAGGCCTCGGCTAAGGTCAAGGCGACACGTGGGCAGAGCCGACAGGGCACCGCCTCTGCCCGGCCAGGCCGGCTGCCTCCGAGCCGATGGCAAAGGGGGCGGGGATACACCCAGCTGGGCAGGGGCACCCTGTCACTCTGAGGGCCCACACCCAGCCCCCGGGCCCACCTTGTATGCCTGCCGCACCCCTCCGTTGTCAGCGATGTTCTCCCCTAGGGTGCTGAACCCGTTCACCTGCAGCAGGGACAGGACTGGGGGGGCAGTCCCTCCCCTTCCCAGGGGGGCTGGATGGGGTCCCCCCTCTCCCTAGGCTCTGTTCCTATTCCTAAGCTCTGTCCCCACCCCGGGCCCTGACCCCACCCCGGGCCCTGTCCCCACCCCCATGCCCTGTCCCCTCCCCCAGCCCTGTCCCCACCCCCATGTCCTGTCCCCTCCCCCATGTCCTGTCCCCACCCCCATGTCCTGTCCCTACCCCCATGCCCTGTCCCACCTCAGACCCTGTCCCACCCCGGGCCCTGTCCCCACCCCCATGCCCTGTCCCACCTCGGACCCTGTCCCACTCCGGGCCCTGTCCCCACCCCCATGCCCTGTCCCCTCCCCCAGCCCTGTCCCCACCCCCATGTCCTGTCCCCTCCCCCATGTCCTGTCCCCTCCCCCATGTCCTATCCCACCCCGGGCCCTGTCCCCTCCCCCATGCCCTGTCCCACCCCCATGCCCTGTCCCACCCCGGGCCCTGTCCCCTCCCCCAGCTGTCCCCATCCCCATGTCATGTCCTCACCCCCATGCCCTGTCCCACCCCGGGCCCTGTCCCACCCCGGCCGGCCCCAGCCGCTGGGCTCACGTGCTCCTGCTCGGCCAGGTCCCAGGAGAAGTTCCCGTACTGGCGCACCATGCACTCCGCCTGCTCCTGGAAGTGCTGGGCCGAGAAGTTGCTCCACCAGTCCTGCATGTTGCCCTCCTTGTCAAAGTTCCGGCCTGGGGGCAGAGGGGCGGTGGGCCCTCCCGCCTGCCCGCCCAGACCCCCCACCTGAGCTCCGAGCGAGCAGAGCCGCCAAGGCACCGCGGCCAGAGGGCCAGCACCTCCTGGGGAAGAGCTCGGCACGGCACCGGGGAGACGGCTGGGGCCTCCAAGCCACCTCAGCCCCCACCCCGATGTCAGCCCCGTCAGGGTGGGCGTGTCCTGGGACGGAAGCTGCCTCGGAAGGTGCCCCGGGTCAAGCTCGGGGTGAAGAGCCTCCTGGGTGGCAGCTGCAGCCCCCAGCCTGGCCACAGGCCCCAGGCCAGGCAGGGCGCCCGGGGGAGGAGGTCAGGATGTCGGGTCAGCCCGGCTGGAGGCTGCTGGCCGCCTGGGGAGGCCAGCGCTGGAGCCCCAGGTGCCTGGGCTTTGCCTTCTCGGGGTCACAGGCCCAGGAGGGCAGGGCCGGCTCACGGGGTGCAGCCGGATCTGGCCCTGGAGCCCTGAGCCCTCTTCCATCCCTCTGCCCCGCCAGCCTGCTCCGCCCCAGAGCTCCTGGCTTGGTGTCCCCCCAACCACAAAGGGGCTGGGTGGACAGCCTGGGGCTTGGCCTCAGACCCTCCCCGGGCAGAGGGGGGGAGGGGTGTGACTTCGGGTGCACTCTGACCCCGGAGCCCCACCGTTGTCGTCAAAGCCGTGGGTGATCTCGTGCCCGATCACCATGCCGATGCCGCCGAAGTTCAAGGCCTGCGGCTGGTCCCGGCTGAAGAAGGGGGGCTGCAGGACCCCCGCGGGGAACACTGCGGGCAGCGCTGAGTGAGCCCTCCGGTCCTGCCTGCAGTCCCCGGGGAGGACGGGGCGGGGACCCCACTTTACAGGCCGAGGCTCGGGGCCCAGGGGCAGGGGAGGGTGCGGGGCCCTGAGTCCGGCTTCTCGGCACCGTTCATGCCCCTTCCGGCAAAGAGCCGGCTGCCCGCCCTCGGAGAGCCCTGAGCAGAACGGACGGCCCTCGGTGGGTGACGGGCGGGTCCCTGCGGTGGACAGATGGTGCCCTCTCCCCCTTAGAGAGCGGGCAGGGAGCGCGGGAGGAGGGCAGCGCTCAGGCCCCTCGGCATCGGGGCGGGGGGGGGGGCGTACCAATCTGGTTCCGGTTGGGCGAGTAGAAGGCGTTGACCACGGCGGCGCCGATGAGCCAGCTGCGGAGTGAGCTGGTCACGGGTGGTCCTGCCTCCCGGGACCTCCCTCCGGGCACCCTGGGCCCAAGCCACCGCCAAGCGGGACCAGCACTGCCAGCAGCCAGGCTGGGGGCCCGGCCACTCGGACACCTGGCTCCTCCCTGGGCCTGCTCCCCCAAAGCAGGGCGGCTCTGAGCCGGACCCACTGCCTCCCCAGCTGGCCCCGTGTCCGGCCCGGCCTAGTGCTGTCCCCCCTTACAGCCCCTCCTCCCCCCGGTCGCCCCCCCTCACCGGCCCCCCAGTCAGTCCCCTCACAGCCCCCGCCCCCATGTTGTCCCCCTCAGAGGCCCCGCCCCCCAGTGCTGTCCCCCCTCACAGGCCCCTCCCCCCAGTGCTGTCCCCCCTCACAGGCCCCTCCCCCCAGTGCTGTCCCCCTCACAGGCCCCGCCCCCTGCTGTCCCCCTCACAGGCCCCGCCCCCTGCTGTCCCCCCTCACAGGCCCCGCCTCCTGCTGTCCCCACTCAAGGCCCCGCCCACTCACAGGCCCGCCCCCTCACAGGCCCCGCCCCCTGCTGTCCCCCTCACAGGCCCCGCTCCCAGTGCTGTCCCCCTTACAGGCCCCGTCCCCATGTTGTCCGCCTCATAGGCCCCGCCCCTTGCTGTCCCCCTCACAGGCCCCGCCCCCTCACAGGCCCGCCCCCTGCTGTCCTCACTCACAGGTTCTGGTCCACCCTCTTGCGCAGCTTCCTGAGGCTCCGCTGGGCGCTGGCCTGGAGGTTCTGCAGGCCGTTCTCGAAGTACAGGTGCTCCGAGAAGTTGAGCTGCGGGGCCGGGGCTGTCACTCCAGGCGGCCGGGCGGGGGTCCGAGGGCGGCGGGAAGGCGGGGCAGAGGGCTGGGCGCAGACGGGGCTCACGAGGCGGGGGGGGGGGGGGCGGGGGAGGGGGGGGCGCACATTGGAATACTCCCTGTCCAGGTGCTTGCTCCTCTCGTCCAGGATGTAGTCGGGGTATCCGATCTGCACCTTCATGCTCATGGCCTGGCGGGAGGTCACCGACTCAGCCCCCGAGGGCTGCGGAGGCGGCTCATGGGGGGACCCTGCAGGGCTGGGTCTGCATCTGACCCTCCGCCGGGGGCTGGGCAGGGGGGGGGGCTGTGGGTCTCTGCCCGCACCCGGCCAGGGGCTCCTGTGGGCCTTGGCATCACTTCTGGGCACCTGATCCCTGAGGCCTTGGCCTCCCCACCCACCCCGGGTGCTGGGGGCCTCCCCACCCACCCCGGGTGCTGGGGGCCTCCCCACCCACCCCGGGTGCTGGGGGCCTCCCCACCCACCCCCGGGTGCTGGGGGCCTCCCCACCCACCCCCGGGTGCTGGGGGCCTCCCCACCCACCCCGGGTGCTGGGGGCCTCCCAGGCATGGCTGCCCGTCTTGCCCCTGCCCACAGCCCTCCTGAGCAGCCGCCGGCCTGGCTGAGGGAGTGGAAGGAGCTGGCCACGTGGGCTGCCCTCCTGCCGGAGCCTGGCCCTGAGGTCACGGGGTCACGGCGGGCCCTGCGGCCCCCACCTTCTCCCGGGCCTTCTTCTTGGAGGCCTGGTCCATCCAGCTCAGCTCGTCCAGCGTCTCCACGAACACGGCGCGCACCTTGCCGATGAGCTCGCCGACCTGCAGCCCCCGTGCAGGGTGACGTCTGGGCTCCGGGCGCGGAGGCGGGGGGCTGGCCGCCTGGGGCGGCGTCTCTACAGCTGTGCCTGGTCGAGGGGACCAGGGCCCCCACCCGGCCCGGCCCGGGCAGCCTGCAGGGCCAGGGCCCAGCCGCGGGCCCCCTGCCTCCCGCCACCTCCCGCACACGCCGCCCTGCGGCCCCGGGCTCCTCGGGGCGAGTCCAGAGCCAGGCGGTGGCGTGGACCTGCCCGGTCACGGTGCGCCCCGCGAGCCCGGCCGGGGAGCCCAGCACCCACCACGCTCTTGCTGTCTCTGGAGAAGGCCTTCCGGACGTACAGCGAGCCCGCCGCGCCCTCCATGTTGCTGTTGACGTAGCTGACGCACTCCCGCCAGCGCACCTCCTCCATGGTCTTGCCGTACAGCACCTGGCGGTCATTCGTTCACTCATTCATTCATTCATTTATGCGTTCACTTAGACATTCATTCACTCACTGACTCAGTCACCCATCCACTCAATCATTCATTTACCAACGTAACCATTCATTCACTCGCTTAGCCATCCATTCATTCACTTATTCACTTAGTCATTCATTTACTCAGTCATTCACTCACTTATTTATTCATTCAGTTATCCATTCATTCACTCACTTATCCATTCATTCATTTATTCACAGTCATTCACTCATTCATTCTCTCACTTACCCATTGACTCACTTATTCATTCACTCATTCATTCACTCACTCACTGTCATTCATTATTCCATGGCATTTACCAACGTGTGCTTCCCCCTCCTCAGCTTTAGAGAGCCCAGGGTTGCCGAAACCGGTTTGGCTCAATGGATAGAGCGTCGGCTTGGGGACTGAAGGGTCCCGGGTTTGATTCCGGTCAAGGGCATGGACCTTGGTTGTGGGCACATCTCCAGTAGGGGGTGTGCAAGAGGCAGCTGATCGATGACTCTCGCCGATGTTTCTAACTGCTATCTCTCTCCCTTCCTTTCTGTACAAAATCAATAAAAAAGATATAGAGAGAGAGCCCAGGGCTGAGGGAGGACAGGGGATGAACTCAGAGACCTACCTTTGGGTGCTCCGCACGGGTGGGGAGGGTCCAGTGTGCTGTTTGCCGGGGGTTCCACCCAGGCAGGGAGCTGGGGGAGGAGGGGCCCTTCCCAGCCCAGCTCCTCACGCCCTGTGCTTGCCTCCCGGGCTGTGGCCCCAGGGCCTCAGTGCTCGCCCGCCCCTCCCCTGCAGGCCTGAAGGAATGAGGCTTGGCTCAGGCCGGGGCGGAGCTACTGGCGCAGGTCACACACCTTGTGGTACTTCGCACGGGCGTCCTTGAACCGCTGGCTCAGGCTGCTAATGCGATCCTGCACCAGGCGCCAGACCAGGTAGTTCTGTATGGTCCTGGGGGCGGGCAGAGGGCGGAGGGACAGGTGAGGGGAGTCTGTGTTCCTGGGGGCGGGCAGAGGCGGGCAGGGGCGGGCAGGGGTGGGCAGGTGAGGATGTGCTCGGGAGGAATGCTGGTTCTGGGTCTTTGGCTGCCAGGTTCTCTGGGAGACTGAGCTCAGGGCCGTGGAGCAGCCTCTGAGGCGGAGCCTGAGACATGGAGACGTGCTCGGAATGGAAACTGCTACCCTGGTGCAGCCTGTCGGCTCTGGACGCTTGAGATGCCTCACGGAGGGGTCTGACCCCTAGCAGATGGCTCCCCTGGCCATTAGCATTCACACCCCCACCCCCACCCCCACCGTGTCCCTCAGGCTCCTGAGAAGAGGAGCCATGGGGAGCTGGCAGAGCAGGGCAAAGGTGCAGAGGCGGCCAGGGCCTCCCAGGCCTCCCCCAGCCTCCCCGGGCCTCCCCCAGCCTCCCTCTGCCTCCCAGGCCCCCCTCCAGCCTCCCCGGGCCTCCCCCAACCTCCCTCTGCCTCCCAGGCCCCCCTCCAGCTTCCCCGGGCCTCTCCCCGGCCTCCCCCCCTGGCCTCCCCGGCCGCCCCCAGCCTCCCCGGCCTCTCCCCCGGCCTCCCCGGCCTCCCCGGCCGCCCCGTTCCCCGGCCGCACCTGTCGGAGAAGTCGCCGATGATGCCGTCCAGCCTCTGCAGGTAGGGGAGGCCGTACACCACCACCTCCTCGTCGGGCAGCAGCTGGATTTGGACGGAGGACAGCACGGACTGTATGAAGAGCGTCCAGTTGAATCCCTGGGGGTGGTGAGTGTTTCTGGGGCTTACACGGAGGCAGGATGTGTGGAGGGAGTCTGTCCCCTCGGCCTCCTCCCCCAAGGCAGCACCACGGGGTCCCTCGGCCCCGCCCCCGCCCCCCTGTGCCCCACCCCCTCCCCTGCATGCCCCCCTCACCTTCAGGCCGAACCTGCCCTGGAGCTCGGCCACTGGCATCCGGTGGTACAGCGCCGTCACGTCATGCCTCTCCTCCTGGGGGGCCGTGGCCTGCGGGGGGCGGGCGGCGGTGACGGGGGGTGGCGGCCGGGGCCCGGGCCCTCCCGCCCGCGGCCTGGCTCACGTTGGCCAGCTGGGTCTCCAGCCGCAGCACCTGGGCCATGTCCTCCTGCACCCGGCGGCGGCCCCCGGGCAGGCTCATGTCCGCCCGCAGCATGGAGGCCACCGACACCATGAACTGCAGGTAGGCCTCGCGCACCTGCCGGCGGGGGACGGGCGGTCAGCCGGCGCCTGGCCCACAGGGCTCTGTGCGGCGGGGGCGGGGGCGGGGGCGGGTGGGCCTATGGCATGGAGCCGGCCCCCGTGTGCTTGCCGTGTGCTTGTCAGCCACCCTGGGCTGCAGGTCAGGCAGGTGGAAGCGGGTGTGGAGGGGTAAGGGATGGGGGGACACTGCAGACGGTCATGCCCACCCGGCCAGGGGCTCAGCTGTCCCCACCCACCCAGGCCTCTGTGTCCCTGGGACCAGGTCCTGGGCCCGGGCTCAGGCCGGTGGGGGCAGCAGGCAGCTCCGGCGGGCGCTCCCCCTCCCTTCCCGCCGGGCACGTGGCCCTGAGCTTCCGCCGCAGCAGGGCCTGTCCAGGCTGCCGGCCGGCACCAGCAGGTGCGGGGAAGGTCTGGGTCGTGCGGGGCGGGTGCCGGGGCTGAGGGTTGCCCCATGCTTCTTCACGGCGCCTTTCCCCTGCCTGTGCCCCCTCCCCTGCCGGCCCGCACCCCCTGCCTTCCTCCGGCCCACCCCGCCGGCCCGGCCCTGCCGGTCCCTTTGGCTCCTCGGTTCCCCTGGGCACTGGAGCAGACTGGCCCCGGAGCACCCGGTCTCCAGGCGCCGCACGCAGAGAACCAGCCACGGAGCGTGTCCACAGAGCGTGTCCCCAAGGGGAGGGTTTGGGGACACGCCCTGCGATGGTGCCAAAGCTGGTCCCGGCCCCAGGCTCCAGGCTCCAGGCTCCTCCCCGAAGGTGCTCACGGGGGGGGGGGGGGGGGGGGGGCGCGAGTCCAGGGAGGGCGGGGCGCCCGGCGGGCTCACCTTCTGGCTGTTGCCCGCCTGGAAGTAGTGCTCCCGGGAGGGCATGCCCAGGGTGGGCTGGTCTATCTGGAGACACAGAGGGCGTGAGCCGGGCCGGGCGCCGTGCCCACAGCCCAGAGCGGGCGACGTGGGTGCGCGAGGCACGGGGTCCCCAGCCCCCGTACGCCCCTGCACCCCCCCCCCCCGCTGTATGCCCTCGGCCGCCCCCCCCTCCCCGTCCCCGGCCTCGCCCAGCGCCCTGGCCCTGGCCCGGCCATATATCGATGATGTGGCAGCTGGAGTTAGGCACGGGGTCCCGGTCTCCCGCCTGTCCCCCCGGAGCCCCCAGCCCCCTGCCCCCGGCGCCCCCTGCCCCCTGCCCCCTGCCCCCGGCGCCCCCTGCCCCCGGCGCCCCCGGCGCCCCCTGCCCCCGGCCCCCCTGCCCCCTGCCCCCCGGCCCCCCTGCCCCCGGCGCCCCCTGCCCCCGGCGCCCCCTGCCCCCTGCCCCCCGGCCCCCCTGCCCCCGGCGCCCCCTGCCCCCGGCCCCCGGCCCCCCTGCCCCCGGCCCCCCTGCCCCCGGCGCCCCCTGCCCCCGGCCCCCGGCCCCCCTGCCCCCGGCGCCCCCTGCCCCCGGCGCCCCCTGCCCCCGGCCCCCCTGCCCCCGGCGCCCCCTGCCCCCGGCCCCCGGCCCCCCTGCCCTCGGCCCCCGGCGCCCCCTGCCCCCGGCGCCCCTGCCCCCGGCCCCCGGCCCCCGGCCCCCGGCCCCCGGCCCCCGGCCCCCGGCCCCCGGCCCCCGGCCCCCGGCGCCCGGCCGTACGTAGATGATGTGGCGACTGGAGTTCTGGTCGTCGGTCCAGATGAAGAGGTCGATGAGCACGCGCCGGTTGAACTGGGCGTTCATGGCGGCCAGCTGCCGCTCCAGCTCCCAGCGGCGGCCTGGGGGCGGGCGAGCTGGGGCCGCGGTCCCTGGGTCCTGGCCCAGCTCCGCGAGCACGGGGGACCCTGGCCTGGGGGGGGCCTGCGCAGCTCACATGTGGCCTCGGGGGTTGGGACATGGGGTAAACTCCCCCACAGTCCACGGGGCTCAGGCCCGGGCAGCAGTGTGGGGGCTGCCGGGTGGGGGTGCCCGTGCCCACACCGACGTGGGGCTGAACCAGAGAGCAGAGAGCCGAGCCCACGGAGCTGGGAGCTGGGGTCCCCGGCCTGTGCGGGGGACTGTCTTTCCTCAGGGCCTGGAGGGATGCCTGCCCCCCCGGGAGCTGGAGGACCAGTCTGCGCCTTACCCACAGTGTCCGTCCACTCGTCCTCGTCCATGGCCACCGGCCAGCCGCCCACCCCCCCCAAGGCCTCCAGCAGCGGCTGGGAGTCTCGCTCCTCGATGATGCCTGGGAGGGAGGGGGGGTCACTCGCCCGGACACTGGTGTGTGACACCGACCTCACATGGCCCCTTGGGGTGCTGCACCCCCAGCCCACAGCCCAGCCCCTCCCCCCACCGACGGCAGCACAGGACCCAGAGGGCCTGGACGCAGAAGAGGGGACGCGGGGAGGGGGTGGGGAGGTGACATGCACAGGCGCCCTGGACAGCGGCGGAGGGCAGGACAGGCCTGGGCGCTGCAGGCCAGCCATGGCCAGGAGCAGGCAGGGCTCAGAGCCGCCCTGGGGTGCACCGGGCAGCGGGAGGGGTGGGGGCCAGCCTGGGCAGCGGGGATCGGCAGGGAGCTCGGGAGGACTTGGCCCAGAGACGAGGTGAAGGGGGGACACGGGGACGGATCAGGGCGTGGCTGCCGGCCGGCTCCCCAGTGGACGGGCAGCTCTGGGGGGAAAGGAGGGTCCCCCTAGATCTGTGTCTGAGGCGGGGCCTGGGCCTCTGCAGTCGGTCTCAGGCAGGAATTCCCGCCGGGGCCTATGCCAGTGGGGTCGCAGGGAGCCTGCTGTCACGTGTGAGAAACAAACCCAGGAGGCCCGGAAACCCCGAGGAGAAGGGGCCCCTGAACCTCTGACTGCAGATCAGTGCTCCAGGCAGGCACTCCCCGCGTGCCAGAGGATCCCCGCGTCTCAGTCCTCCCAATAGAAAGCAAAGCCAGGAACCCCCAGTGCACCCCCAGACATGGGTACACACACACATACACACACACTAGTACATGCAAATGTACAACACACACACAGACATGCACACACACATAATACACACACACACACACACACACACACACATACACACTAGAGACATGGTGCACAAAATTCAGCCCAGCCTGCACCCTCTCCAATCTGGGATTTCTCTCACAATCCAGGCCTGCTGGCTCCCAACCACTCGCCTGCCTGCCTTCCTGATTGCCCCTAACCTCTTCTGCCTGCCAGCCTGATCACCCCCTAACCACACCTGGTCACCCCTAACTGCTCTCCCCTGCAGGCCTGGCTGCCCACAACTGCCCTCTCCTGCCGGCCATCTTGTGTCCACATGGGAGTGGTCATATTGTATGTTGGAGTGATGGTCAATTTGCATATTACCTCTTTATGATATAGGAAATGCACACACAGACATGCACAACGCACACATGAACACACATGCACAATGCACACACATGCTTTCCCAGGGCTCCTGCCTCCCCACCCCACCCCCCCCCGTCCTCCTCTCGCCTGAACAGAGTGTGGCCTGTGCTGGGGTCAGGGGTGAGGGTCATGGGCAGCTGGCAGGCAGTCTGTGCCCCCCGGGGGCCGGGCACAGTGCCAGGCGGGGCACAGCTCCCAGCCCACAGCCCTGGCCTGAGTCCTGAGTGGCACCCACTGCACCGGGCTGCGCTGCAGCAGCCAGGGGTCCAGCCCCCCACTCTCCCCGTCCCTGCAGGACGCCCCCCCGCCCCTGCTCTCCCTCGGTCATGCAGCCCCCCCCCCCGCACACCCACGCACTCTCGTTCCTGCAGGACCGCCTCCCACGCACACCCACGCACTCTCGTTCATGCAGGAGCGGTACAGCGTCTTGGCCTTCTGCACGGCGGGCCGGTCCCTGGCGGCGGCGTGCTCCAGCGCCCCTGTGGGCGGGAGGAGGCTGGGCAGAGGCGGGCGGCTGGGCCTTTCCCGGGACCCTCTCCTGCCCCCTGCAGGGGCTCGGCGGGCCGCACGCCCCCTGCCGCCGGCGCCGGGCGCACCTTTGAGCACCACCTCCAGCTCGCGCCGCAGGATGTCGAAGACGCTGTAGCGGGAGCTGGTCCCGGGCACCACGTGCCGCCGCAGCCAGCCCCCGCACGCGTGCTGGTAGAAGTCCTCGCACGGGTCCGCGGACGGGTCCATGTTCCTGAGGATCCTGGCGGCTGCTCGCCGGGCGGGGGCGGGGGGGGGGAGGTGGATGCCTGGGGCTGTGCACCCCGGGGCACATTCCCTTCTCTCCACAGCGGTGCTGGGCTGGCGCTGCAGGCTCACGGGGGGCAGGGGGCGGGAAAGGGGGGCTGGGGCTCTGCTCTGCCCCTGGAGCCGGGTGTCCTCAGCATGGGAGGGGGCGCTCACCCACCATGGGGGAGGCAAACCCCGAGTGTGCAGGACAGTGGGGCCCCGCTGACCTCTCAGCGGAGGTGGCCGGCTGGACCCCCCCCCCCCCCCCCCGGCTCACAGGGTTCTGTCACTTGGCTGGGACCTGGCGGGCAGCCCCACAGGAGCACCCAGGACCCCAGTGGGGACCCCTCCCGCGGCTCACCTGCAGGTCTGAGCCCGCTCTAAGCCATTTCCGGGGAGCATTTGATGGCGCTGTGGTTCGAGGCCCTGGGGCCCCGGGAGGCCAGGGCCTGGGAGGGGCTAGTGGAGTGTGGGGGCCGGGGGCGGGGGGGGGGTGAGGATGGGGACAGTCCCAGGCCTGTCCTCTGCCCTGGAGCGGGCCTGTGCCACCATCACTGGCCCCAGGAGGGGCGGGGCTGTGGGAGGGAGGGCGGGGCTGTGGGAGGGAGGGCGGGGCTGTGGGAGGGAGGGCGGGGCTGTGGGAGGGAGGGGGTGGGGCTTCAGGGGGCGGGGTTTGTGGGAAGGTGTGGGCTGTGGAGGCAGAGGCGGGGCTGTAGGGGTTGGGCTGTGAGAGGGGGCAGGGCTGTGGGGCGGGGCTTAGGGGGTGGGGCTTAGGGGGTGGAACTGTGGGAGGGAGGGGGCGGATTGTGGAAAGGGGCGTGGCTATGGGAGGGGCGGGGCTGTGGGAGGAGGCTCATAGGCGGGGCGGGGCTGTAGGGGCATAGCTGTGGGCGGGAGGGGCGGGGCTGTGGGAGTGGAGGGGCGGGGCTATGGGAGGGTTGTGGCTGTGGGAGGGGCGTGGTGGCTGGAGGCGGTGCTGGAGGGGCGTGGCTGAGGGAGGGCGTGGTTGTGGGGCGGGGCTGTAGGGGGCGGGGCTGTAGGGGGCGGGACCTACCCGCTATCACGCAGCCGGGGCTGGTGCAGACCTTGTCCTCCTGGGGACCCTGGATGGCTGTGGGGAGGAGCCCGTGAGCTCGGAGAGGCAGCGCGCAGGAGGGACGGGCCGGCCTGCCCGTGGGGCTGGGGATGGAGGGAGGCCGGCCCGTCCCTCCTGCGCGCTGCCCAGGCCTGAGGCCTCAGGGAGGGTGGGCCTCCTGGGGTGGCCCCAGGGCTGGAGCCGACCCTAAGCCCGCCTGCCCGCCAGCTCCCCCTGCTGGGCCAGCTCCTCCAGGCAGCTCTGCGCCCCCAAGGCCCCGCCCCCAATGTCACCCCAGCTGGTGGTGTCAAGGGGCCGCTGCCAGGTCTCGGGTAGGCCCAGGCCTCAGGCTAGCACCCAGGCCCGGGGGCAGCCTGGTTCCCGGCAGCCCGGCCTCTGTCCTCTCCTCCCTGGGACTCCCTCTGCCTGGGGGAAGGCCAGGCTACCTCGGGGCCTTCGCTCTACGGCCGTCTTCTCTGTCCTGGAGGCCAGCCGGCCAGTGAGGAGCGGCGGCTGCTTCCCTGGGGAGAGACACGCTCAGCTCAGTTGGCCTCAGCCCCGGCCCCGGCCCCGGCCCCGGCCCCAGCCCCGGCCCCGGCCCCGGCCCCGGCCCCGGCCCCGGCCCCGGCCCCAGCCCAGGCCTCGGCCCCGGCCCCGGCTCAGCTCCCTGCTGGGGCCCCCACCCCCTCTAGTGAGGGCTGGTCACCTGGTCGTTGGTGGTGGGGAGGGGACAGAGGTCCCTGGCAGAGACCCCCTGGCATTATGATGGGGGGGCTCTCATTGGGGTGGGCTTCACAGCTTCTCACTACCCCGGGGAGGTCAGGCCCCTGCACCCCACGGCTGGGGGAGGGCGTGGGGCGGGTCAGCCTTGCTCCTGGGAGGGCTCTATGCCAGGTGTTTGCAGGCTGGGAGCTCCGGGGACTGGGGTCCTCAGGGATCTGAGTGCCAGGGACCCTTCCTCCCCTCCCCCGGCCCCTGGCCCTGCCCCTTCCCCTACCCCCGCCCCTGCCCTTATCCCTGCCCCTGCCCCTGCCCTGGCCCTGCCCCTTCCCCTGGCCCCGCCCCTGCCCTTATCCCTGCCCCTGCCCCTGCCCTGGCCCTGCCCCTTCCCCTGGCCCCGCCCCTGCCCTTATCCCTGCCCCTGCCCCTGCCCCTGCCCCTGCCCCTGCCCCTTCCCTTGCCTCTGGCCCTGCCCCTGCCCCTGCCCCTGCCCCTGCCCCCGCCCTTGCTGGGCCCAGAGGCAGCCCTGCCCAGGGTGGACGTTGGCCCCAAGCTGGTGCAGGCGGAGCAGAGGGCACTGGCTAGTGAGGGAACGTTCTAGCACAAAGGCCGTGGTCTCCCACAGCCTCCCCTGATCTCCGGGCCAGCTGTAGGAGGGCTCCCTGGTGCACCGGCCCCTCTGCTCCCTCCCCCGCCCCCCCCCCCCCCCGCTCCCCCACCTGTCTCCCAGGCGCAGCTGGCGTCTGCGGGGCGGTGCGTGCACATGCGGCCCCCCACCTCCCCCCTACTGAGGGGTGGGGGTATTCGCCCCGGCTCCTCCGCCCTCCCGCCACCTGGCAATAGCCACGTGCCGGTGTCCGCCTGTGACCTGGGCCTTCGGGGCCGGGGCGGGGGTGAGATGGGGGGAAGGGGGGGAGGCGGGTGCAGCCGGTCCCCAGGGCCTTGGCCGCGCCGCGGTCCCAGCCTGGAGCTCGGGCTCCGCCTGCCGGGCCGGCGGGAACTGCAGCGGGCGGGCGGGGCGGGCGGGGCGGGGCGCGGGGACGGGACCCGCAGCGGAGCCAACAGAACCAGAACCACCGAGGGGGGAGGTGCGGGCAGAGCCTCCGCCAGGGCCGGCCCGCAGGGCAGTGCCCCCCCCGGGGCCCGCAGGGCAGTGCCCCCCCCCGGGGCCCGCAGGGCAGTGCCCCCCCGGGGCCCGCAGGGCAGTGTCCCCCCGGGGCCCAGGGCAGTGCCCCCCCGGGGCCCGCAGGGCAGTGACCCCCCCCCCGGGGCGCGCAGGTCTGTGCCCCCCCCCAGGGCCCGCAGGGCAGTGAACCCCTGGGGCCCGCAGGGCAGTGCCCCCCCCGGGGCGCGCAGGGCAGTGCCCCCCCGGGGCCCGCAGGGCAGTGCCCCCCTGGGGCCCGCAGGGCAGTGCCCCCCAGGGCCCGCAGGGCAGTGCCCCCCTCCAGTCCGCAACTGCACCCGCAGCCCCGGGCTGACCCCGCCTGGCCGGGCAGGCTCTCCCGTGGGCGGCGCGGCGCAGACCCTCGGGGTTGCGGGGAGGAGCGGCCGCTGGGGCGCTGGGGGGGTTGAGGGGATGGGGGGGTTGGGGAGGGGCTGGGGGGCTGGGGGGGTTGGGGGGACTGGGGGGACTGGGGATGTTAGGGGGCTGGGGGGTGGGGTGGGGGTTTGGGGGGGCGGGGCCGGTGCCCACTCACCTCCGCTGGGGTGCTGGGCGGGTTAGGGGACTGGGGGGTTGGAGGACTGGGGGGTGGGGACTGGGGGGTGGGGGGTTGGGGCGATGGGGGGTGGGGGGCTGGGGGGGGGGAGTTGGGGCTGTGGGGGGCTGGGGGTGGGGAGCTGGGGGGTGGGGGGGTTGGGGCGATGGGGGGTGGGGGGCTGGTGGTGTGGAGCTGGGGGTGGGGGGGTTGGGGCGGGGGGGGCTGGGGGTGGGGAGCTGGGGGGTGGGGGGGTTGGGGCGGTGGGGGGGTGGGGGCCCTGGGGTGGGGTTTGGGGGGCGGGGGCCGGCGCCCACTCACCTGTGCTGAGGGCGTGGAGCAGGCCCAGCGCCGCCAGCGTCGCCAGCAGCAGCAGCAGCAGCCCCGCCGCCAGGAAGCTGGGGCGCCGGCCCCGGGGCTCCCCCATCGCCAGGCTCTGCGGGGACGGGGCGCCATCAGCCCGGGCCAAGGGCAGGGGCCGCGGCTGGAGCTCCGGACCCCTGTGGGGCTGGCGGGCCGGCGCTGGGGGAGCAGGGGCCGGGCTTTTGGGGTGCTCGGCCCGCATCTCCATCACGAGTCCACGCGCTCCTGGGCGGGGCCTCTGAGCGCCGGGCCGCAGAGGGGGCCAGCCAGTGCGGGGCGGGCTCAGAGCCCAGGGGCTGGGGGAGGTCCGGGACCAGCTGCCACCAGGGGAGGTCGCGGGGGCCACGCAGGCCCAGGAGGCCGGCCCGGTGCGGGTTGGGGGGGGCTGCAGTGGAGGCTGCCAGGGGCGCACTCACACCCACACCCCACACCACATACACATGTGAGCGTGCATGGGCTCCGTGTCCATGTAAGCACACGCACGTGTGTGTCTGCATGCGAGTCATGCACATGTGTATGAGTGAGTATACACAGGGGCTCCCTGTACATGGCTACATGTGTGAATGTGCATGTAAACCTGTGTACCTGCATGAGAGCATGCACAGAGGCTCCGTGTACTGTGTGCTGTGAGGGTGCATGTGTATGCACATGCAGGTGTGTCAGGCACATGCGGAGAAGTGTGCACCTGTGTGTGCATATGCGTGCAAGTCACTCACACGTGACTGTGTGTGAGCATGTGTGTGTGCATGCGAGCCATGCACATGTGGGTGTGCGCGTGCGAGCATGCGTGGCGTGCACACGTGCTGGGCGTGTGTGCCCCTCCGTTGCTGCGCCTGCAGCGCTGCTGGAAGCTGCTTGGCACCTGGGAGCAGCTGTGAGGCCCTCACTCAGGACAAGCTCACCCCTGAGGTGGCACTGGGTGCCCACCTGCCGCCCTTCACCCCGCCCGAGAGCTGTTCAGTCACCCCCGGCGGGGCCTCCGTGGGGTCTGCATTCACACCGCCAGCCCAGCACCCCCTGCACCCAGACCCTTTCTGTTTTACCTCCAGACAAGCAGCCATGATTTCTGTCCGTTTCCCTCCCGGTGGGAACGTCCCTGGGCAGGGCAGGGCGTTTCCCTGGTCCCCAGCCCTTAGCCTGACGCCCCCGCTCTCCAGGCACCAGCCAGCACGGGGTAGTGAGTGCACGGTGAGGAAGGAAGGAAGGAACGGGTGGGCGGCTCAGTGTCTGTGCTGTCTGAGGCCAACCTGGACCAGCGAGTCCCTCCCTCAGGTGCGCGTCCCTGCCATCTGTCCGGGGAGTCTTCCCAGCAAGGGCGGGCGGGCGGGGTGGGGCCGGCTTCTGCTCCAGGGGCACAGACCCTTACGGAAGGGAACTGTGCCCGGGAGCCCCAGGCCCAGGTGCCAGGAGGGGCACACGGAATGCCCCTCTGCCCCAGGGCTGGGCGGGGCGCCTGGAGGGGTTCTCGGGGTGCTGCCCAGGACAGCTGGCCCGGCCGCCGGCAGGCCCTCCACCGGCTCACCTTCAGGTCACTCGCACGGCCGTCCCCCGCGGGCAGGTCGCAGGCTGGGCAGGTGGCCTGGAGTTTGGGGTCAGGGCAGGGGGAGGGGCTCCCAGGGGCTCTGTGAGGCCAGTGGTTCCGAGCTTCCGAGCCTCGTTTGTGATGCAGGGTCCCCAAGGCGCTACTCCGCTCCCTCAGCGGGTTCCGTCTGGGCTTGGTGTGGGGGAGGGGCCAGTTCCCAGACCCGGGCTCCCTGCCTCTGGCCCTGACCCCCGAGCCCCTCTCCTTTGCTCCTGACCGCCCAGTCCAAAGGGCTGCGGGGGTGCTGGCAGGAAAGGCGGACCCTTCCTCGCTGCCACTTGCCCCAGGGTGCGAGGTCAGGGCCAGGGCACGGGCTGGCAGTGGGTGTGCCAGGCCCTGCTGGGGCTCCTTTCCCCTTGGGGGCCCAGTGCCAGGGAAGGTGGGGGCCCTGTTGGTGATGGGAGTGGACAGGGCTGCCCCGGGGGACCTGAGGCTCAGACCCCAATTCCCAGGGGCCGGAGGGCCTGGCTGGGGCGGGGGCGGGCTTGGCGGGGGCCAGGGCTCTGAGCAGGCCTGGTGGAGCTCACCCCTCGCTGCTTCAGGCCTGATGGAGGTGGGTCTGGGTCTGTGAACCTGAGGTGGGCCAGGGAGGGGGTGAAGGATTAAAGAAGACGGACAAGAGAATAAAGCTGGGTCTGGGTGGGACGCTGCTCTCTGATGGAGACAGAGTCACAGCCTGCAGGCCGAGTCTGTATTTTATAGTCAGATTTTCTGCCACGAGGCAAGGGAAGGGTTGGTCAGGATGTTTACAAGATCCTGGCAGGGTTTGAACCCGCTCAGTTTCATGCACCGGAACTCTGTCGAGCTTTGTTTGGCAGCAATTGCTGCACCTCCACAGCCCACATCCTCAGCACCTGGGCCCACAGGTTCGGACCATCAGGTCACGTTACAACCTCGGCCTTTGGCTGTCACTGTGCTGGGAGGGCTCTGCCCTCTGCGCTGGCATCTGCACGTGGCTTTGCCACATGAGGACGTGTCCTCCCATCAGTCCGAGGCTTGAACCTGTCCGAACGCTGAGGATCCACCCAGGTTCACGTCATCCAGCACCAACTCGGCCCCAACAGCCAGACCCGAGTCCCTCCCCTGAAGGTCTGTCAGTCAGGGAGAGTGACGCCGTGCAGAGAGGGGTGCTCAGGAGACGCCGGTGAGGGAGCTCAGGAGAGCCGGTGCAGGCAGGAGGGTCGGGGTGACGGAGAGGCTGGGGTGTCACCTCTGAACCCTACAGTCACTGCTTCCGGAATCCCAGTTAAAACTTGAACCCTCTTCCATAGTTAACGCCAACTCAGGAGCCATGCTTTTTATTGCCTGACTAGAGGCCGGTGCAGGAAATTTGTGCTTCCCTCAGCCCGGCCTGCACCCTCTCCAATCCAGGACCCTCGGGGGATGTCTGACTACCTCTCATTAACCAGGACTGCTGGCTCCTAACTGCTCACCTGCCTGGCTGATCGCCCCTAACCGCTCTGCCTGCCTGGCTGTTCGTCCCTAACTACTCCCCTACTGGCCTGATCACCCCTAACCGCCTGCCTCCCCTGACACCCGGGACCCAGGGCTTCCCTCCCTCTGGCCGGCCTCAGGCATCCAGGCCCCGGGCCGGCCGCAGCTGCAGGGGACCATGGGCGGGGGCTTCACCTGGGCCGTAGGCAGCGGCGCCAAGGACTGCGGGGCAGGTGATTTGTCCCTTTCCCGGCCACAGCCTGGCTGGTCCTCATTCCTCTCTCCCCCGTGCTGAGTGTGTGAGCCGTTACGGAGTTACTACGGCGTGACGGCCATTTGCATGTTAGCTCTTCATTACAGGGAATGGACTCGAGAGGGGAAGGGAGCAGCATTGCTGGTCCGCGTGCGGTGGCCTCCTCGGTTGCTTGTGGGCTGTGTCCCTCGTGTCGGGACAGCGCTCCAACCTACTGGGCCACCAACCAGTGCTCACCAGCCATTCTTTTTTCTCTTCTTAAGACAATGGCGTGTTTCTTATTTTATTTAAAAATTTTTTTATTGACTTCAGAGAAGGGAGAGGAAGAGAGAGAAACATTGATGAGACGTGGTCCGGCTGCCTCCTGCAGTCCCCACTGCGGATGGAGCCCAGGACCCGGGCATGTGCCCTGACCCAGAATTAGACTGCGCCCCGCCTGAGCCCCGCCCGGGCAGTTCTTTCTGACGTTCTCGCTCTTTGGCTTCTGCGCCCTGGTGGTCCGGCTGAGGACACTCACCGACGCCAGGAGCGGTCCCTGTCACCGGGCCTGAGCTAGGATGGGGGTGTGTGTGTGTCCGTGGGGGGGTGTACGTGGTGGGCGCACGAGGTCAGCCATTGGCAGCCCCAGGATGGCGCCGTGCGGCTGAGCACTCCCAGAGAGACGTCCGGGTCCCAGAACACCAAGCTGAAGGCACAGCGATCAGAGGGCAGCCGCGGCCCGGAGAGCGCCCTCATGGTGTGCCCAGGGCTGGCGCTGCCCCCTCAGCTGCGGGCTCCGACCCGCATGCGGTCTGGGCAGTGTCGGGAAACTCTGGGGGCCCAGATAACTGACCTTGCAGGCCACCTGTCTCCAGGCCCCGAGCCCTCATTCCCTCGTTAACTAGCCAATGAGGGACCCCAGGAAACCGCACCCCCTTGGCCCAGCGAAGGCAGAGCCAGCCCCAAGCTGCCCTGTGGCCTCCCAGACCCCAAGGAAGGAATTTTCCTCAAAGCCGCCCCCCCACCCCAAACGGCTTTTGCTGAGTTGCATCCTGACATCACAACCACAGGGCTGGTCCACCCCAAGGCGGCTGCAAACGCGGACGTGTCTGGGGCGCCCCCTGCAGGCAGCACAGGCCTGTCGCCGGCCGGGAGGACGCGGGCCTGTGCTTCTCCTTGTGTTTGCAGGTGGCTCGTCCGTTTTACTGTTTTTGAATAACTGCAGTTTCGGTTTAGCCTCTTCTGTTTTTCTACTGAAAGCTTCACTGCTGCTGGTTTCCCAGCGTCCGCAGCTGAAGGTCTCTTCCCTCGTTTCCTTGTGCTGCCGTCAGTGCTGGGGCTCAGCCTCGGGGACTCCAAGCCGCGTCTCTCCCAGGCGTCGCACTTCCCGTTTCTTGTTTTTCCAAAATTGTGCAATTCCAGGTTTCACTTCCTCTTGAAACCAGCGCGCCACTTCCCATGGGGGCGGGGAGGCGGCTCACGCCTCAGCGTCCCGTTCCCGAGGCTGGCGGTCCTCGCAGAGTGGGCACCGGCGAGGGCTGCTGCGTCTGACCGGCCTCGGCCGACCCCCTGGCATACTGCTCGGGAGGGCCCCGTGCCGTGGCTCCCAACAGTGCTGGGGGGATGGTCAGCCTCACGTCCACCTGCACTGGGTGTGGGACGGCAGGGCTGGGAGCAGGTCAGGACAGACGGATGGACGCTGCCTGGGGAGCTGGAGGCAGAACCTGTGCAGGTCCCGGGCTGTCTTCTGTCGAGGAACCCGCCCCGAGCCGGGGTGTGGCTCCCACTCGCTGAACTTGACGATGACCCCGTCAAGTTCAGCCCCAGCTTCCCAAAGGGACGAGGCGGCTTCCCAGGGTCTGGGGGCCGGGTCTGACTCCCCGAGAGAGAGGGTTTTCCCAGCAAACAGAGGAAGCTCCGTTACAGCCCCAGCCGGGCCGGTCAGCAAGCAGCCAGCCGGGCGGCTCTCTGCTCGGCAGCGGGGAGGGGCCGCATCGTCGCCGTGGCCGGTGGTGGGTGTGGGCCCGGGGCTGCCCAGAGAGTGACTTGGAGGATGGGCCTCAGCCGCAGGCCCCGGCTGGGGAGCGTCGTCTTTGGCTGAGGCCGGGGTCAAAGGGCGCCTCGTGCTGCGGGAGGGGCTGCACCGGCTCCCCAGCCCCCGGGGCCGCCTTCGCCGTGTCCAGCCTGCTGGCCCCACGCCAGGCCCATGAGGAAGGGGCTCTGGGCTCCAGGCCGGCGTAACGCCCTTCTCTCTGCCGAACCCTCTGCCCCGAGCCGGGAGGGTGGCGTCCGCACCGCCCGGTTTGGGGAAATGGCAGGGCGGCCCCGGGCCCGGGCCGGCCGCACGGGTCAGTGGAGCCGGCAGCCGGAGGCCGCCTCCCTCCGGAGCCGCGCCTTCAGCCTCCGCAGGCCGCAGTGCTCCGGGTCCAGCAGCAGCCCGCCCTCGGCCGCCGCCCAGGCCTCCTGGTACCGCCGCTCCTGCAGGCAGCGCTGCCCGAGGCCCAGCAGCACCCGGGCGGCCGGGGCCCGGCCGGGCCGCGCCCACAGGCTGCTCTGGGCCGGGGCGGGCGCCAGCGCCAGGGCCTGGGCGAAGGCCCCGGCGGCCCCCGCCTCGTCCCCCAGGCTCAGGAGCAGGCGGCCCCGGGAGCACAGGTCCTCCGCCCGCCGCGGGCCGTCCCCCGCGCCCTCGCGGAGCACCAGGTCCAGGTCGGCCAGGGCCCGGCCGCACTCCTGCAGCTCGGCCAGGACGGCGGCCCGCAGGCGCAGGTGGCCGGCCCTGCGCCCGCCGGCCAGGACGGCCAGCGAGCAGTAGCCCAGCGCCTGCCCGGGCTGCCCCGCGGTCAGGAGGGCGCTGGCTTCCTGGGCTGCGGCCTGCAGAGGGGCAGAGGGAGGGTGCGGTCAGCCGGATGTCTCGGCCCCTCGCCGCCCTGCACACCTGGCCCCCGTCTGGAGCAGGCACCTCCCTGCCGTCCCCCCTCTCCTCCTCCCGGCTCTGCCTTCTCACAGCCCTGCTGCTTCTCGCTGGGCGGCCTCCTCCCTCCCACCTCTGCGGGGCCTCTCCCTGCCCACCCTGCAGGGCCCTGGGGCAAAGCCAAACACCATCTCTGCCCAGCCTGGTCCCTGCGCCCCCTCAGGAGCCCAAGGTCAGGAAGCTCTAGTGGACTTCTCACTAGGGTCCTGCAGGGCCAGTCCCAGGAGGGGACAGCACGAGGTCACTGGAGGGGGCAGGACACGGTCACAGGTGAGGGCTGCACCAGTCACAGGGGGCCATGCCGCCGCTCCGCCCTCCCGCACTTCAGCCGGATGCCAGCAGGACCAGGGCTGCGGCCCCTGTCGCCTGCAGCCCCTCCACCCTCCTCCGGCCGCGGACAACCCGCTCCCTCACACGCTCTTCCCTGCGGAGCCCGGGGCCATCGGAGCCAGCCTGCCCGTCCCTCCCTCTAGGCGGCCGGTCTACCAATGCCCTCGGCGCCACGGCCCGGGGAGGCGCAGGGCACCCGGGGCGGCGCAGCCTGCGGGCACCGGTCGTGTCCGTTAACACCAACCCGCAGCTGCGCAGGCGCGGCGCCCTCCCGAAAGGTTCCGCGCGGGCCCGTGCTCAGGGGCGGGGACGCCGGCCGCGCAGGCGCAGTGCCTCCGGAAGCGGGGCGCGAGCACTTCCGCTTCTTTTCTGGGTCGGCATTTGCTTCTGGGCATCTGGCGCGCGCATGCTGCGGACTCTTCTCGCGGCGGACACCAGTCCCCGCCCCGCGGCCCCTCCTGCGCTCTTGGTCCCGGAGACACTGTCTCACCCCTTGGTTCCCCCGCCCTCGGGGCAGCGTCCCCGCCGCCTGCCCATCGCTCTGCGGGCAGCCAGCTCCTCTGTTAATAAAGCCCAGTGCTGCTCACCCAGCTGCTCTCCGGGCGGACCTGCGTGCTAGGCCTGGGCGCCCAGCCACACGGGGCTCGAGTGCCCAGTCCTTGGGCTCATAGCACTCTGTCCCCTAGTGGTCCCGCCCCCCTCTTCCCCCGCAGGCAGGGTCCCCACGCAGGGGGGCAGGGCAGCCTACACCCCTCCCCTGTGGCCTCCCGCCCTGGCAGGGGAGGTGGTCAGACCCACACGGACCGCACGTTACCCCCTGCCCGGGGCCCACTGGCTCCTGTGCGGCTGGCTTCCAGTACAGCTAAGGCCAGAAACCTCCCCCACAGCCAGCCCCGCCGCTTGGGGCCATTGGGTGAGTCTTCTGAGCTCAGTCCTTCAGCCAGGCCAGTGCCTTGACCTCTGCCCACCCTGCTTTCACCTCCCCGGTGCGACCTCGCCAGCCCACGCCCTGCTCCAGGGGCTGCACACTGACACCCTCTGAAGTGAACCCCGTGTCTCCCCTGAAGCTCAAGGGCCAGAGGGCGGGGCTGTGGCTGGCGCTCAGACATTCTTGTGGGATAAAGTGGAGTGAAAAGCCAGCCGCAGGGGGCCGCCCCCACCTGTGCCTTCCAGGAAGTGTCTCTCCCGCCTGACCTGGCGTTGGGATGGCTTCCTGCAGGAGCCAGGTGCTCCTGGCCGCTCTCGCGAGGCTGAGGGCACCCCTCTCTCCCCCCACCCACGTCACCTGGGGCTTGTGTGCCTTGTGCCAAGCAGCTGGAGGTCCTGGTGTAGTGAGAGCGTGGCTTGAGGTGGTGGCACCTGGGGGCCTCTGGCTCCCCTCCCCACCCACACCCCTGAAACCAGCAGGCAGAGTGCAGCGCCGCCCTGAGTGCCCGTGGTGCTGGGAGGGCAGACAGGGCTCCCTGGGGGCTGCACGCACCTGGGCCAGGCCCTGCCGCTCCGAGGCCTCCAGGAGACTAAGCAGGAAGCCGAGGTCCCCGGCGTCCGTCTCCGCCAGGCACTGCAGGTCCCGGGCAGCGGCCGGCACGTCTCCCTTCTTGAGGCTGAGCAGGCCGAGCCGGGCCCGGGCCGCCTCCGAGGGTGGGGAAGGGCGCAGGGCGTCCTGGAGGCGGGCGCCCGCCTCCTCATAGCTGCCTGTCGGGGATTCCGAAGGGCAGTCAGGGTTGTGCCGGGAGGAGGGGGGACGGGGCGGGGGCCTCGCTGGCCACTGCACCGGGCAGCTGCCACAGCCTTTCCTGCCTGTGCTGGCTCGGGGAACAGCGGGCTCCTGGGAGAGCGCAGCCCAGCGGGAACAGCCAGGAGCAGAGGGACGTGGTGATGCCATGCTGGTCACGTGGACGTGCCTGCTACCAGCACCCCAGCCCGTGTCTCTCAGGCTGAGGAGCAGGGTCCGAGCCCCTCACATGGGTCTGCACCCTCCACGCCCCCGCCAGCAGCCAGCATGGGGCCGGAGCAGGACTGGAGTCGGGATGACTGATGGGGAACATGCAGGCTGCACTGAGAACCCCCCCCCCTCAAGTTCGTGCTGAAACGAGATCAGGTTTTTTAGGAAAGGCCACCATTTGGGCACGTGTGGGCGGAAGATCCCGTCTGGATGGGCCCTGGGCCCGGGGCACTCGGCCAACCTCTGTGGAATTAACGCCTGAGTGCGGAGGCCGGAGCCTGTTTCTCCTCCCACAGGCACAGCGCGGAGGGGACGGGAGCCGGATGTGGGACCGGGGCCAGGGGCCTGGGATTCGGCTGGAGGGACCTCGGAGGCGGCCGGGTCAGCCTTTCTCCCGGTTTACAGAAGGGGCTCCAGGGGACAGAGGGAGGGAGACCACGTCCCCAGGCCTGGCTGCCACGTACCCAGGGCCACGAGCAGGTCGGCCAGGAGGAGGTGCCCTTGCGCCTGCCCCGCATCCATCTCCGCCAGCGCCTCCCCCGCGGCCAGGAGGCCCTGGACGTCGCTGTCGCTGAGCGGGGCCCCGGGGCCCGGCCGCCGGCTCAGGAGGCCCCGGCAGTGGGAGGACAGGCCCTGCGCGATGAGGGCCTGGGCCTCCGGCTTCAGGGAGCGGAGCTCAGCGACCGCCGAGCCCGGGTCCAGCCTCAGCGCCGAGAGCACGTCGGCCACGGCCTCCTGCAGGGCAGACGGGGGTCGTCAGCGTGTCACGTGTCTGTCCTCCCGGTGTCTGGGTGCCAGGCACGCCCGAGGGTGGGCAGGCCGGCCCCTGCCCGCTCAGCCTGGGGGGAGCCAGCCCGAAGGAGGAGCTCAGGGCCTGTGGGAGCACCCCCTCCCCCCGCAGCAGGCCCGCCTGGCCAGTCCCGCTCTGGTTAACGGGCTCGGCCCTGGGAAACACACGCTTGTCCAGCCCCAGGAGGGACATGCAGAGCTGCTTCCCAGCCCCAGGGCACCTGGAGGGGAGGGAACCGGGCGCCCAGGCCCCTGGGGGAAACAGGCCTCCTTCGGGCTGACCTCCCCTGAGGTTGAGCGACAGGGGCTGGCCTGCCCACCCTCGGGTATGCCTAGCACCCAGACAAGGGGAGGACAGACACGGGCACCCCGGACAGAAGCAAGAGCCGTGGAGGAGGCCTCGTGTCCTCACTTTCAAGGACTCCAGCCCCAAGCTCACCTGAGAACCTGGCAGCTCCCTCCCCACACCCCTCTGCTCCGTGAAGCCTCAGCAGCCAGCCAAGCGTAGTCCCTGCCTGGCTGAGAGGCACCCTGTCCTGGCCGCTCTGCTGTGGCTGCCTCTGGGCACATTTTCTCTGAGAAACACCTCCCTCCCTGCCCCCGGGGTAGACAGCAAGATGCAGCTGAGGTCTTAGTATTTAAGCTGGGGGCCCCCTAGTGGCCCTGCAGGTTAGTGCACGTGTCCTGTCCATGCTGACCCAGGGAGACCGGACACTGGGACGCGTCCACCAGGCCTGGTGCCCGGGCAGTGGGTCACGAGGGGCCTCTCACCGCCGGGATGGACTGACTCTATTCCCGCTCTTCTCTGGGGGTGGAGGGGGAAGGCAGGGCCTCCCCCAAAGCGCTCCCCACTGTGCTCCCCAGGCCCGGGGCGGGGCGGGGCTGCACCTGCTGCTGGCCCAGCGCCAGGTGCAGGAGCGCCCGCCCGCACAGCGCCCGCACGTGGCCCGGCTCGGCCCTCAGCACGGCGTTGAAGTCGAACAGGGCGGTCTTCCTCTGGCCCAGGAGCGCGTAGCAGCGGGCGCGGGTGAGCAGCGACTCGCCGGCCTGGCCCCCTGCAGGGGGGGGCGGCATCAGGGCCTCTCACTGGCCACAGATGGGCGACGGGCGGGCACCGAGCCTCTGTCCTCATCCAGCCTTTAGGGCGCCCCTCCTGGTGCCCAGCGGGGGGAGGACCAGAGGGGCAGCGGCTGTGGGGCCCCTCGGGGACTGCAGGGCAGTCTGGCTGCAGGGCGTGGGGGCCCAAACAGGAGGGTGGCGCCTGGGACAGCAGAGGGGCTCCTGAGAGAAGGGGGCACCGCGGGCGAGGGGTCAGGAGAAGGCAGGTCCTCGGGGCAGGCATGTCATGGACACAAGCTCAAAGGTGCCGGGAGGCCAGGCACGGCCTCTCCCCAAAGGGGTGGTCACCATGCGTGTGCCCAGCGGTGGACACAGGAGGCGCGCTCCAGGCCCGATAGGACAGTGGGGGCCGTGTCCCGCCCCCAGCTCTGCGCCCGGCCCGGGCTGGCTGAGTGAGCCCACTAATTCCAGGAGGGGCTGAGGGGAGCAGAGCCCCTGGTGGATATGACCTTGGAGCTCAGTTGGTAAAAGAGACCCCCTCGTGTGGTCCCCCCTACCCTCAGGGCCCAGCTGGCCTGCCCTCTCCGGGCCTTCAGCACTCACCTGAGGGCCGGGGCTCTCCCTGTCCGCCCCATGGATGTTCCCAGGGCGACACACCCTGGAACCCCCAACCAAGGGCGTCCCTGGACCCCGGGGCCCCCCACACCCAGCTAGGCAGAGGCTCCCATGTACCTGGCACAGGGGGCCCCCGAGGGCGGGCAGGCAGCTCCTACCTGCAGCGAAGATGGCCAGAGAGAGGTAGGCGACGGCCTCCCTGGTGCGGGCCTCGTCCTCCGCGCCGCCCGGCTGCGCCCGCAGGAGGGCCAGCGCCCGGGCGTGGCAGTGGCTCCGCAGCAGCTGCCGGTCCTCCGGGCGGAACACGTCCAGCGTGGGCTGCAGGCAGGCCGTGTCCCCGGACTGCACCACCTTCTTCACCAGCTGCGGGGCCAGAGGGTGCCCAGTGACCCCTGTGCCCTCCTACCGGTCCGGCCCAGGCTGCGGGCTGGGCGGGCTCGCAGGGGCGTGACCACGGGGGCATGGCTTGCGGGGCGTGGCCAGCGGAGACATAGCCAATGGGCATAGCTCATGGTGGGGCGTGGGGCGTGGCCTTTGGGGGCGTGGCCAACGGGCAAAGCTCACGATAAAACGTGTGTGGGCGTGGCCCCGTGGTGGGCGTGGCATATGGGGGCGTGGCCAGCAAAGGGGCACGGCTTGCGGGGGGCGTGGCTCACATTGGGGCAGTGACTGTGAGTCCCTGGGGAAGGCTGGGTGCGGGAGGTGAGGCCCCTTTGGGCTACTCCTGTCGGCTGGGTGGCGGGAGTTGGGGTGTCTCGGGGTCCTTGAGTGACTCCTCCTCCTCCTCGGTGATGTGGGAGGCAGAGGGTCTGGGTGGAGCCGGAGCCCCAGGTGGACATGACCTTGGAGCTCAGGCAGCCCCACCCCACAGAGACCCCACGTGCCCCTGCTGGCTGCTGGGCACTCTCCTCCCCCTCCCTCCCTCCCTCCCTATGCCCAGCGCAGGGCACAGTCACCCGGACAGGCTGCTTGGCCGTCAGCGCACCAAGTCCAGCACCCTCCCCTAAGACGCCTCGGCCTCCTGACCACGCCCAACAGGAACCCCGTGGGTGAGGTCTGCTCTTCCCGGGAGCCGGCCAGTCTCGGAGGGAGGCCAGCGGGGTCTGAGGGCCTGGGGCCCCTTCACCGACGCCCCTTCTGGGCAGGGTCACGTCCACACTGAGTTTACTGGGAGGGAGGTGTGAGGTGAGCTCGGCCTAAACTTAACTTTGCCCTTTTGAAATATGGGGTGCCTACTGCATCCCTGAGGCCTGGGGGGTGGGGGTGGTGGGGAAAGGGCCTGTGGCAGCCAGCCAGGCAGGGCACGGAGGAGGAGCCTGAGGGTCAGAGTGGCCCATGCTCTGCCAGAGCCTTGCCCGCTCCCGGCCCAGGCTGAGAGGTGGCAGCAGGAGGCTGGGACCAGCTGGGCTGTGGGGCAGAGCGAGGGCCTCCCACCTGGTTGGCGTCGTAGCAGAAGCCCCTCCGCAGCTGCAGCAGCGCCAGCCGCGCCAGCACGGGCGCCGCCTGGGGCCGGCGGGACAGCGCCACCAGCAGCGCCTTGTGGGCGTCGTCCAGGCGGCCCAGGCGGTACAGGGCGTCGGCCGCCAGCAGGCGGGACACCTCGTCCTCCGCGTCCAGCTCCATCAGCAGCGTGGCCAGCTGGTACACGTCCTCGGCGTCCCTGCAGGGAGAGATGTTGGGGGAGCGCAGGCGCCTCCATACCTCCCCGCCTCCCACACACCCAGGCAGCCTGGCCACAGGCACGCCCTGCCCTGCTTTCCTTCTCTGCGAACACAGGGCCACAATGCCGGCCTTGCTGAGCTCAGGGCGAGCGGGGGCGGAGCTCGGGACACCCCAGGCCCTGCTCCTGGGGCCCCGGAAGGGATGTGAACTCCCACTGGGAGAAGGGGTGGGCACCCTGGGGTGTGAAAACCCCAGAGAACAAATATAAAGGGCCCCGCCCGCCCCACCCACAAATATAAAGGTGCCCCCTGAGCAGCAAATCACAGCCACAAACCAAGCGCCAGGGGGAGAGAGAGAGAGAGGGTGGTGGTATCACACACGCCCCCAGCTCAGTGCTTTCCGCTCAGAACAGCTGCGGGGTCCTCACTGGGCTGGCAGTTTGCAAGAGCCCCTCAGGGTGGGGGTGGGCCCCGATGGGCAGGTGGGCAGCTCCCGAAGGCAGGCCAGCACGGGGGCACACTCCCTGACCGGGAGGCCCTGGGCCTCCGCGTGAGGGGCAGAGCGGGGTGGAGGCACCAGGCCTTGTAGCCAAGAGCAGGAGCTAGGGCCAGTGGTGGGACCCAGGGTGGCGGGTCCCAGGGTGGCGGGGTCCCGGGTGGCGGGGTCCCAGGGTGGCGGGTCCCAGGGTGGCGGGGTCCCAGGGTGGCGGGTCCTGGGTGGCGGGTCCCAGGGTGGCGGGTCCCGGGTGGCGGGTCCTGGGTGGTGGGTCTCCAGGGTGGCGGGTCCCCAGGGTGGCGGGTCCCGGGTGGCGGGGTCCTAGGGTGGCGGGTCCCAGGATGGCGGTCCTGGGTGGCGGGTCCCCAGGGTGGCGGGGTCCTAGGGTGGCGGGTCCCAGGGTGGCGGGTCCCGGGTGGCGGGGTGCCAGGGGGTTCCTGGGCTGCGGGACACGCAGTTCGTGACCAAGGACGTGCTCACGCTCCCTGAGCACAAAGTAGGGTGAGCTGCCGGCCCTGCCGGCCTCATGCCTGTGGCGTGTTTCACGCACAGAGAGCCAGCTGGAAGGGATGCAGGGCCGGGGTGGGGGCGAGGGGTGCGGCTTGTTTTGCCACTTCCGTGTCTGAGTTTCTCATTTGCTTATAGAAAAGGCCTGGGCGCCTGGCCAGGGTGGCTCAGTGGGGAGCGCCATCCTACAAACCAGGAGGTCAGGGTTGGAGTCCTGGTCAGGGTACCGGCTCGGGTTGTGGGCTCCATCCCCAATGGGGCGCGTGCAGGAGGCAGCGATCCATGGTTCTCTCTCATCATTGATGTTTTTCTCTCTCTCTCTCTCTCCCTTATTCTGACATCAATACAAATCTATATCTCTATATATCTCTATCTATAATCTCTATCTATAATCTCTGTCTATAATATCTCTATCTCCATCTCCATCTCCATCTCCATCTCCATCTCCATCTCCATCTCTGTACCTGCCACCAGTGACTTAAAGAACTATCCCGCCTCCGCTCCGCCTCTGGAAGCGGATGTGCAGAAGCCCAGGATGCGGCGCCCAGGAGCACGCGGGGCCGGTGGTTACCTGTCCGGCTCCTCCTGCTCATCGGCGCCCTCGGTCTCCGCGGCCTGGCTCCGGCGGCCCCGCGCGCCCGTGGGTGCGGTGGGTGCGGTGGGTGCGGTGGGCGCAGGGGGCGCCGGGCCGGGCCTCCGCCGGAGCATGCCGCCGGCCTCCTCGCGCAGCACGGTCCGCAGCAGCCCGCGCAGGTTCCAGGGCACGAGGGCCTTGGCCACCAGCAGGGCCTCCTCGGGGCGCAGCCGGCAGGCGGTGACGTAGTCCCGGGCGCCCAGGAAGGCGCTGCCCGCCAGCACGCGCAGCAGCCCGCGGCCGCACAGGGCGCGCACGCAGCCGCGGGGGTGCGGGGGGCCCCCCGCCACCGCCGCCTGGAAGTCCGCCCGCGCGCCCGCCGCGTCCCCCGCGTGCAGCGCGCAGAAGCCGCGGAGCGCCAGCAGCGGCGCGCGGTCCCCGGCTCCGTCCCCGGCTCCGTCCCCCGCTCCGTCCCCGGCACCGTCCCCGGAGCCCCCGCCCGCTCGGGCCCCCGCCCGGTCCCCGGAGCCTGGGTCCCCGGAGGCCCCGCCGCGGCGCCGGGGCCGGAGCAGCCGCTCGCACAGCGCCCGCGCGCCGCCCGCGTCCCCCGCCAGCAGCAGGCACTCGGCCAGCCGCGCCCCCAGCGCCCGGCGCGCCCCGGGCGGCGCCACCCGCACCAGCACCCGCAGCGCGCGCGCCGCCGGGGCCAGCAGCTCGCGGCCCGAGTCGCGGCGGAGCTCGGCGCGGCCGCGCACGGCCTCCCGGAACAGCGCGAGCCCCGCGTCCGCCGCCTCGCGCAGCAGCGCCAGCACCCGCGCCCGGTCCGCCGCCGCCAGCACCGCCGCCAGCTGCCGGCGCGCGGCCGCCGGGCTCTCCCCGAAGGCGTCGTGCAGGTCGCGGAGCAGGTCCGGGGCGCCGCGGTCCAGGAAGAAGGCGGCGGCCGCGCGGGTGACCAGCAGGGCGGCCAGGCGCTCACCTGCGGGGAGAGCGGAGGACGGGGTGGCCAGGCCCCCGGGGCGCTCCCGCCCCCCTTCCCCCAGCTCCCCGGGGGGAGGCGGGTAGCGGCCCGTGCACCCCAGCCGGCTCTCAGTCGGGGCTCAGTCCGCCTCCTGCTCCGCCAACAAGGAAACTTAGTTACAACTCTCCCAGCCCCACCCCCTTCAGGATGGACTTTGGGGTGAGCTCCTCCTGGGGGCGCTCCAGGCCAGAGCGCAGGGCTGACCCTGGGAGCTTGGCAGGGGCCTGCAGTCACCATCGTTTCTCTGTTCTTTCTGTTGTTGTTAATCCTCACCTGAGGGCATTTCCCATTGATTTTTAGGGAGACAGAGAGAGAGGGAGAGACAAACACACCGATGGGGTGACTCCTGCATGCACCCCGCCAGGGTCCCGCCAGGGAGGAGCCTGCGACTGAGGTCCTGCCCTTGACCGGAACCAGACTGGGGACCACACTATCCACTGAGCCACACCGGCCAGGGCTGTTTCTTGTATTCTTTGGGCCACTCAACACTTCCCTCTCTGAAACAGAGACGTCCCCCCGGCAGGCCCAGGAAAGAGGGGAGGACACACCCAATGCCACGGACGGAATTCCCAGGCCTCAGTTTCCCCTTTCGCTCTCTAATGGGATGGCACGGCCTGCAGTCGCAGAGCTTCGAGAATGGAATGGGTCAGCGTGGGCCCAGTGTCTGGGGCAGGGCCTGCTGGCTGTGTACCTCGGTGAGGGCGCATGTCGGTGCAGAAAGCCAGGGCAGGTGCGCACTGCCAGGGAACCTCAGAAACCTCAGCTGGCAGAGCTCAGGGCCTGGGGGACCCTCCCCCATAGGACAGATTAGGACAGTGCTGCTGAGGGACCATTCCGGAGCCCACTGCCGCCACCCCAGGCCACGGAGCCTCGGCGTCCCCGCTCTGTGCACGGAGCCCTCGGGAACCCTCAGCGTCTCCCTGTCACTGACACGGCCGCCACGCCAGTGACAGCCCTGGACGCGGGAACGGCCGGTGTGAAGGCCCAGCGGCCGCAGCCCTGCCCTCCGTGAGCGGCTGAGGGTCATGCCACGGCCCAGAGCCAAGTCAAGAGAGCATCCTGCACCCTGAGGTCAACCCACCAACAAACCAGCCCCAGCCAGGCGCCCCGTCCAGTGCTGGTGGCCAAAGTGAAAGACTTTGAGGGTTGACCTATGAACCCGGGGGTCACGGTTGGATTCCCGGACAGGGCACATGCCCGGGCTGCAGACTTGCTCACCCAATGTGGGGTGTGCGGGAGGCAGCCGATCAATGCTTCTCTCTCATCAGTGATGTTTCCGTCTCTCTCTCCCTCTCTCTCTGAAATCAATAAAAATGTATTTATTAAAAAAAGAAACTCTGAGCCTTCCCCATCCCTGACTGACTCCTGACAAATGAACGCCGATCGCCGATGTGCGCAACATCATGGATCGAGTTGCTGCAGCAGGTGCAGAGCCCGTGGGGCCTGGGGGCGGGGGACGATTATTTCTTTACCCACAGGGAAGTGTGTTTGTTCTCTCCTCTGCTTCTGAGACTCCAGTCACACACATGAGGCTTCTATACGTCGTCCCGCTGGGCACTGAGGCTCCGTACATTTTCCCCGTGTGGGCCATATTGGATAATTTCTCTTCCAAGTTTAAGCTCACTTAACTGACTCTTCTGTCGTTCCAATATGCCATGCATTTTCCATTTCTGTTTCTGTGCTTTTCGGTTCTAGAACATTCATAGATTCCATTTACTTGCTGAGATTCCACATCTGCTCATTCATTACGACTATTAATACATTTTCCTTTAGTCCTCCAGTGTTGACTGATGGTTCCTTTAACGTCCTCCGTAGGCTAACGTCAGCACCTGTCTTGTCCTCTCAGGCCGGTTTCTAGCGACTTCTTTCCCTCCCGCCTGTGGCTCACGTGTTATTTCCCGGTTTCTTGCATGCCCAGCAATCTTTAATTGCACACCAGACACCTGGCTGACGCTCTGTAGAGACTGGGATCAGGTATGCTCCTCTGAAGAGAAAACACGTTGGTTCGAGCAGGCAGTTACATAGGAGGGAGTCAGACCCCGTGTTCTGCCTGTCTGGAATCTCCATTATGTTCTTACCGTTTCCAGCTGCTGCCTCTTCCACCACCAGCCTCGCCCCTGCACGTGCAGTTAACTCAGCCCAGGAGTTCCGTGGGTTTGATACCCAGATTCAAAGTGGACCCCTGCCCCCCGGCCTTATCCCCTCTGTGGCTTCCTCCGCTTCAGGACTTCCTTCTAACTGTTTTTTCATCCTGAACTCTGACCTGTGACATCACCAGCCAGTGAAACCCCCGCCTTCTGTTTCATGGGGATAAAAACTGGATTGAGCCCTGGCTGGTGTGGTTCAGTGGATAGAGCATCGGCATGGGGACTGAAGGTTCTTGGGTTCGATTCTGGTCAAGGGCATATGCCCAGGGCTGCGGGGCTTGATTCCTGGTGGCAGAAGGAAGGGGAGTGGGGAGGGCGTGCAGGAGGCAGCCAATCGATGATTCTCTCTCATCATTGATGTTTCTCTCTCTCTCTCTCTTCTCCCTTCCTCTCTGAAAAAAAAAAAAAAGATATTTTAAAAACAAACACCTGGATTGAGGAATTTCCTCAGGCAAAACCCCACACGTCCGGGCGACCTGAGGGGTGTCAGAGGCTGCCCATTGCGGGTTTAATGTCCATTTTCCCGATTGCCAGCGAGGCTCATTTATTTAGAAATACTCTCTCCCAGCTGGCGGTAGGACATGGTGCCTCGTTTTCCCTCGCGTTCCTCTCACTGCGAGCTCCCCACGCCCGTTAGCCATCTGCGTTTCCTGTCTGGGGAGATGCTCTAGCAGCAGATTTTACACTTTCTTATCGACAAGCAGCAGTTCCTCACGCTCTGGGAATTTATTATTATTTTCCGCCTGTGGGGCATTCTGCAAATACGCTCTCTCTGTTGTGGCTTGTCCCTTTGCTTTCGACAGCTGGAGGCAAAATAGAAGTTTAAAACTTTTAATTTTGTCAAAGGTACCCCATTTCCCTTTACGGCTCCCTCTTTGGTATCGTGAGGAGCCAGATGTTCACAGAAGGCTCCGTGACAGCAGCCTCCTGTGCCTCCACGTCGGACACCTTGGCGGCGGGCGTGGTCCCGGGACGTGGCTTTGCTGCAGGGGTTCAGGCGGAGAATCAGCACCAGCTGTGGACGATGCTTTTCTCTGGGGCCGTGGGTCTGTGGTGCTCACGCTCACGTGTTAGTTCCAGAAACATCCGCTCCATTTCTGGCCCAGTCTGTGTCATTCTCTCTGTTCCTCAAGTCAACAGCCTTCAGTGTCATTAGTATAATTTTGCATTAACTGGCAGAGAAAGTCCTTCACCACCATCTTCTTCTCCATCCCCGCCCTTTCTCTCCCCTCCTCCCCTCCCCCTTCTCCCCTTTTCCTTCATCTTGTCTATTATTGCTCCTCTACTCTTCTATTATATTCCCAAATCTTTCTAGCAATAGAAAATATAATATAATTATATATAATATAATTATATATTATAATAATAAAATATCATTATATATAATGTAATATAAAATATTATATTATCAAATCTTTCTAACATTTCCCTACTCATATCATTGCTCTTTATTATCTTTTAATAAAGTTTTATGATTTTCTTCATAAGGTCATGTGACTCTGAAGTAAATTACTTTCTGTTGCTATAGTAAGTTTTATATGTTTTTTTAAATGTGTCAATCCTTTTTTAAAAAAAATATGTTTTTATTGATTTCAAAGAGGGTGAGAGAGATAGAAACAGCAATGATGAGACAGAACCATTGATTGGCTGCCTCCTGCACGCCCCACATCGGGGATCAAGCCCAACAATCTGGCCACGTGCCCTTGACCAGAATCCAACCTGGGACCCTTCAGTCTCCAGGCTGATGCTCTACCCACTGAACCAAACCAACTAGGGCTATGTTTAAACCACAAAGTTCCTATTTCTTGCTGGTGTCTATAACTATAAATACTTTTTGTATATCCTGATAAATTCTACTCCTGCATTTAATACATTCTTGTTGTTTCTGTTGGAGCCTCTGCGTAGCTAAGGACATTGTGTGGAATAACAGCAGCATCGTTCCGTCCTTCCTGCCCCACACGTGTTTCTCCTTCTTGTCTTGTTGCTTTGGCGAGGATCTCTAGTGCAATGATGGACACAGGGCAGTGTGAGCAGCCGCCTCGTTCTTCCTCTGAAATGGAAGGCTTCCAAACATCGCACTGAGCATGGGTTTTCGGTGGATGCTATCTTTCTGCACAGTGGGCACACGGAGCTGGCTGCCTGGAGCTTTGGGAAGGCTCAGGAAACAGCCGAAACCGGTTTGGCTCAGTGGATAGAGCGTTGGCCTGTGGACTGAAAGGTCCTGGGTTCGATTCCGGACAAGGGCATGTACCTTGGTTGCGGGCACATCCCCAGTAGGGGGTGTGCAAGAGGCAGCTGATCGATGATTCTCTCTCATTGATGTTTCTAACTCTCTATCCCTATCTCCTCCTCTCTGTGAAAAATTAATAAAATATATTTAAAAAAAAATAAAGGCTCAGGAAACAAGGGCGCAGGGTGGGGGATCGGGGGTAAAGCAGCTCTTCCTCTGCATCTCGTCCTGTGTGTCCACTTCGTAAGGACAGAGCCCTTCCCAAAGGCAGAGGTGTGTTCCAGGTCTGCAGGACGTTTGCTGACCACCCCCTGCCCTGACCCCCCCCCCCCCCCGCTTGGGCTCTCCTACCCCCGGTCTAGACCCCCTGCCCTGCCCAGTCTGGATCACTCCCCGACGCCTGGGCCCCCCCAGGCCTGGACCTCCCCCCAGGCCTGGACCACCCCCCAGCTTGGAGCCCCCCACCCCCAGCCTGGAGCCCCCACCCCCCAGCCTGGTGCCCCCCACCCCCAGCCTGGAGCCCCCACCCCCAGCCTGGAGCCCCCACCCCCCAGCCTGGAGCCCCCCACCCCCAGCCTGGAGCCCCCCACCCGCAGCCTGGAGCCCCCCACCCCAGCCTGGAGCCCCCACCCCCCAGCCTGGAGACCCTCCCCTCCAGTTGGACCACCCCTGGGCTTCCCAGGAGGTTCAACTCTCACTCCGGCTCCCCTGGCAGGTTCACATGCAGCAGCCACAGGAGACGTGACAAGTGTAACCAAGAGCGCCTCACTGCCCAGTGCAAAGCCCTCCCGTGGCTCTCCTGGCCTGAGGGTCAGATCTGAAGGTTTTTGTGGCCGGAGAGCGTGGCCACGGCCACGGCCTTCAGGGCCTCTGCTCCCCCTCTGCCCCCCGCCCCCCAGCCACCCTAGGTCCGCTCAGGGGCAGGAACACCCACGCTCCTTCGTCCTCAGCGACCTGGAGCCCCGGTGGCCGTGGAAAGGACACCTCCTCCCAGAAGCCCTCCTTGACCACTGGCCGGAGGCGCCCGGGCATGTCTCATTTCTCAGAGCGCTGGTTCTGTCCGCTCCTTTTCCTGGCACTCCGTGCGGGCAGGGGCCTCAGCACAACCCCTCCCCCAGCACCTGCGGGCCGTGGCTGTGCTGGGAGGACACAGCCGCCGTGACCGTCACCCTGACCCTCAGGGGCCGTGCCCGCACGCCTACCTTGGGAGCCGCTGCCCGCGGGGTCGGCCTCCAGGGCCCGGCTGCAGGCCGCACGGCAGTCCTCGTAGCGGCCACTGCGGAGCAGGGCGTCGGGGGAGAGGGCGTCGCTCCAGGTGCCCCCGGGGTCCAGGGCGGCCAGGAGCCTCCAGCCGTCGGCCTCCTGTTGGCCGGCACTGTCCGTGCCCTCCTGCTGGCCGGCGCCGCCCCTGGCCTGCTCCCGCCCCGCGAGGTGGGCCTGGAGGGCGCTGACCAGCACGGGCAGGTAGGGCCGCTGGTGGGTGAGGACGAAGGCCACAGTGCGGTCGGCCGTGGCGGCGAAGGCCTGCAGGTAGTCGGCCAGGCCGGCGTCCACCTGCGCCCCCGACAGAATGCGGGCCAGGGCGCGGGTCAACTGCAGCGCCAGCCCCTGCCGGGAGTGGGCGGCCAGCAGGGCGCCGCAGCGCCGCACCACCTCCCCGTGGCGCCCGCGGGCCAGCAGGCCGGCCAGCGCGTGCAGCGCCGCGGCCGGGTGGTCCGGGCACAGCGTGGCCAGGAAGGCGCAGGCCAGCGTGCCGGTCAGCGACACCACGGCCATGCCATCCCAGTGAATGGCGGGGATCTGGCTCTCTCCCCGGCACCAGGCCTCCAGCGTGGCCAGCACGGGGGCCCCCCGGGCCTCGGCCAGGGCCGCCCGGACGCGCCGCACCGCGGAGGGGGCGTGGCAGCTGAAGGCGGCCAGGTAGAAGGCGGTGGCCAATGGGGGCTCCCCCAGGGCCAGGTGCTGGTCCCCCTCCCGGCAGAGGCAGGCCACCAGCTCCTGGGCTGCCATCACCTCCGTGCTCCCTGCCAGGCCATGTCCAGTCCTCAGGCACCTGCGGTGGGATGGGGCGTGGTCAGTGCTTGCAGTGGTCAGCCCATTTGCCTGTGCCCCTAGTCCTGTACCCCCAGGCCTGTGCCCCCTCAGCCCTGTGCCCCCGGGTCTGTACCCCCAGGCCTATGCCCTCAGGCCTGTGCCCCCCCAGCCCTGTGCCCCCGGGACTGTACCCCCAGGCCTGTGCCCCCTCAGCCCTGTGCCCCCGGGACTGTACCCCCAGGCCTATGCCCTCAGGCCTGTGCCCCCCCAGCCCTGTGCCCCCGGGACTGTACCCCCAGGCCTGTGCCCCTAGCCCTGTGCCCTCAGGCCTGTGCCCCCAGGCCTGTACCCCAGCCCTGTGCCCCCCTAGCCCTGTGCCCTGAGCCCTATGCCCTCAGGCCTGTGCCCTGAGCCCTATGCCCTCAGGCCTGTGCCCCCCCAGGCCTGTGCCCCGAGCTCTATGCCCTCAGGCCTGTGCCCCCAGGCCTGTGCCCCCCAGGCCTGCTCTAGATCAGCCCTCGCCCCTCCCCCTGAGCCCTGTGTCGGTGCTGGGCCCTGAGCAGAGCAGGTGGGGGCTTGCAGGTGGCCTACAGGATTTGCTGTCCGGGCTCCAGCTTCCTCCTCTGCAGGCGGGACTGGCCCTGTCCAGCCATGGCCGGGCTGTGGATGGTGGCCTGAGGGGTCAGGGACCATGAGCCTTCGCTCCACCGCCTGCCCCTCGGTCCTCAGGAAGGCGGACCCCTCAATCCAGTCATACCAGCGCCCCCAGCTCCTCAGCGCTGACTCAACAGGCCCACCCCACCTCAGGGTGCACTCTGGCTGCTCCCACACCAGCTCCACCCGCGGGGGGGGGGTACCGGGCTGCCGAGGGGCGCCTGTCTGGCCCTTGGGTGGCGCCTGGCAGCCACTGGCCCCGGGGCCAGGGGGTCAGTTCCGTGGTGGGTTTAGGGACCAGCCCCCCAGACCCTTCTCCTCTCCCCAACTTCCCCTCTCTCTCCGGCTCCCCAGGGGCCTGCAGACAAGCCCCACCCCCCAAATGCCCCTGACACCCACAGGCACATGCAAGCCCCCGAGACCCGGGCGCACACACACCCATCTGTGCACACACACCCACCTGTGCATGCACACGCACCCACCTGGGCATGCACACGCACACACATACACACACCTGGGCACGCACACACAGGCTCACACACACCCACCTGGGCAAACACACCCACCTGGGCATGCACACACACCCACCTGGGCGTGCGCGCGTGCGCGCGCACACACACACACACACACACACACACACACACACACACACACACCTAGGCATGCACACACAGGCTCACACATGCTCACACACACCTACTTACACGTGTGAACACGGTCCCACTTGCTGGTGCTCAGAGGCTGTGGGGAGCAGGGGAGGGAGAGGCGCGCTCCCTGGAGGGGGTGCGGGGCTCCTGGGAGGGTCCACGGGCTGGGCTCCCCGGCGCCCCACCTCCATTGAGCCTGAGCAGAGCCCGAGCAGGAGAGCCAGAGGGAGAGCCGGAGGGAGAGCCGGAGGCAGAGCCGGAGGCTGGGTGCATGCGTTTCCCGGGAGAGTGTCAACACCCTCCGCCCGCTCAGCTCTGCCCCTCGGCCGGCCCCTGCCCCGCCCCCGGGCCTGTGGGATCGCTGCCCAGCCCTGCGCCGGGGAGGTGTGGGGGGGTCTGTGGCCCAAGGGGAGGAGGAGAGGAGAGGCACCCCTGAAGGGCAGGCTCCGTGCGGGGCCACTGGACTTGGGGTGGAGCTGACCGCGCGTTAGGGCCCCCTCAGCCTCAGTCCCCGCAGCTGAGGACAGAGCTCCCGGGAGGTGGGGGCGCCTTGGCCCCTGCACCCCCGGAACAGCCGGCCCTTTCTGCCCCCTCCATCAGTGATACATTAGGAACCCCCCCCCACCCCTCCTTCCCGCAGCCCACGGGCAGGCTGAGGCCCTGGGAGGGGGCAGGGGATGGCAGGTCCCTGGAGAGAGGGTGCTATTTGGGGCCCAGATGCCAGGCAAAGCCCGGATCCCTGGCAGGGCCCAGGCAGCCAGCTGGGTGCCCACCTGGGGGACGCGGGCGCTCCAGTCAGGGCGGTAGGCACGGAGGGGGCACTGCGTCTCCGGCTTCCTCCCAGCGTCTGGCTCTGGGGACTGGGCCTGGTGGGAGTCTGGGTGAGGCCTCGGCGGCGGGTGGGCAGCTGGGGCAGCAGGGCCTGGTCCTCCTGTCCGGCCGGCTCGCCAGCTCCTTGACCTGCACGCGACACAGCCGGGCAGGGACGCGGCAGTCAGATCTCCCGCTGCTCCGAGGCCTCCCATTAATTGCCCTAATTAGGCAGAGCGGTGATGGAGCGGGCTGCCACCAGGCGAGGCGGCCCCGGGCCAGGAGGCGGGGGGCTGCCCCACGTCCACGGTCACATTAGCCCTGATGGGTCCCCAGAGCCCCGTGCCCCGGGCACTGGCCGAGGAGCCGGGTCTGCACGTCACCCGCAGTGCTGGCAGGTGCAGGCGACCCAGGGCACCCCCTTTGTGCCGGGAAAAAGGGGGGCTGTCCGGATGCTGGGAATAAGGGGGGCTGGGAATAAGGGGGGGCTAGGAAGAAGGGGGGCTGTCCGGATGCTGGGAATAAGGGGGGCTGGGAATAAGGGGGGGCTAGGAAGAAGGGGGGCTGTCCGGATGCTGGGAATAAGGGGGGGCTGGGAATAAGGGGGGGCTGGGAATAAGGGGAGGCTGTCCGGATGCTGGGAATAAGGGGGGCTGGGAATAAGGGGGGGCTGGGAATAAGGGGAGGCTGTCCGGATGCTGGGAATAAGGGGGGCTGGGAATAAGGGGAGGCTGTCCGGATGCTGGGAATAAGGGGGGGCTGGGAAGAAGGGGGGCTGTCCGGATGCTGGGCCACGGCAGCGGGGAGGGCACAGCCCAGAGCGAGGCTGGATCTGGACGGGCTGTGCTAGTCCTGGGGCCCCGGGCGGCCGTGGGGCCATGGGGAGCGCCTGCCCTCTGCACGGCCATGCCCAGCCGACCTTTCAGGACAGGTGCATTGTGGGAGGTTCCCAGGGTGACCCCAGCTTTAGGGGCAGGTGCCTATCCTCACAGGCCTAAGTGCTGCCCAGGTCCCTGAGCCAGGAGGGGGGCGCTGGGCGAGGTCCCTGCCTGCAGACCTCGCCTCGGCCGGGAGAGTCTGAGCCCCCTGACGCCTGAGCCAATGTCCCTGCCAGGGCCCAGGCGGGCTCCCCAGCCGGGCCTGGGCACGGCCCTGGGGGAAGTGGGTAGGCCTTGCCCCAGCCACCCCACCCCCAGCGGCACAGGAGGGAGGACGGGGCCCACAGCTTTTCTGCCCCCCCCCCCGGGGGGGGCTCCCCAACCAGGAGGCAGCCTCACCCCCTCAGCCAATCCCCACGAGGCAGGAGAGCACTTAGCAACAGCCCAGGTCTGTGGGTCCCCCACGCCCCTCCCCGCCCTCCGGAGCCAGGTGCAGCTCTCACCATCCACGGACCCTGATGCTCACCCTGAGCCCCCGGCTGGCAGCCTTCGGGACACCCCGGACTCAGGTGCACTGGCCCCGGGGCTTACCTGTGGCTGCAGTGGCTGGACGCTGCGGGACCAGGGGGCCGGGGGCCTGGTCCGAGGGCGCCCGGTGAAACTTCAGCCTCTGGTCCCGGCCTCAGCCAGCGGGGAGCTTTTGGGCAGAGGACAGGTCCTGGGCGGGAGCCTGGGTCGGGGGCTCTTGATCGGCCCGCCCGCTCCCCTCGCCTCGCCGGCCTTGCTGAGCCTCCTGTGGGCTGGCAGCGGGAGAGGGCGGGCACGCCTGCCAGGTGGCTCTCTGTCCCCGATCAATAATGCAGCATCCCCGCCCCACCACCTGCCCACCTGGTGCTGCGTGTGTTGATCTCAGTGGCGGGGCTGGTGGTTTGCGGGGCCCCCTCTGCGGCAGGGGTGCTACTGTGGGCGGCGCTCCTGTCCGGGGAGAGTGGGTAGAAGCCACGTCTCAGTGCCGTGGAGATGGCCCTTCTGTTGTTATCAGGCGCCCGGCTCCCCCAACTAACAGCCCTGCCCCCCTCTGCTGCCCACCTCCCGGCACCTGGGCCACCCGGTCCAGCCACACGGCCCTCTCTGTGCCTGCTCCAGCCCGTTCCCTGCCAGGCCTGTGCCTGCCCCAGGACCTCTGCACGGCACCTCTTGCCCCACTTCCTCCCTCACTTCCCACTCTCCCTCCACAGAGAGACCTCGCTCAGCCCTCATCCAGACCAGCTCCTCGCCCCTCTCCCTGCTTCCCTTCTGTCTGGGGCGCTGGCCCTGGGAGGGCAGGGTGGGTGCACAGCTTGCAGGCGCCTGGCAGGTGGGAGAGAGGGAGACGGGAGGGAGGGAGGAGGGAAGCCGGGCCATGACCTTGGACCTGGACTCTGCCCCAGCATCAGCCTCCTGGAGTCATGGGTCCCCCCTAGTTCAGCACCTCGGACGGACGGTCGCATGGACGGCTGGACGCCCTCTGCCCTTGCGTCAGAGCAGAGTCGGGGAGGTCACTTCCCCCAAAGCTGCCCAACTTCCCCCTCTGCCCTCTCCTTTCTCAGAGACGTGGGAACCAGCCGGGACGGAGATGGATGGGCACCCGCCGACGCCGCTGGCGCTAACGAAGTTTACCCACCGGAGGCGCGGCCATCCATCAGGCAGAAACATAGCGGGCGGAACGACTTCTCCCAACGCCGCCGTGTAATTACCGGCGCGCCGTCCTCGCCGCCGCCATCCGTATCCGGGCCCGCGTGCAAACAGTAATTAACGCGGTAATGAACCCGGCCTCCCTCCCAGAGCTCATTTGCATGTTAATGATCATTAGTGACCGGGGAGACGCGTTATGAACAGCCTAATTAGCAGCTGATCATTTTTACAGGAAACCGTGTGCGCTTTGACGCGCGAGCGAGCTTGGATTAATGCAGCCGGGAGAGCGGCCTCTCTGGGGTGGGGGGAGAGG